GCAGATAGATAGATAGACAGGCAGACAGATAGATAGATAGATAGGTAGTAGGTAGATAGGTAGGTAGGTAGACAGATGGGTAGGTAGATAGGTAGATAGACAGATAAACGGAAAGACAAACAGATAAACATATATACAGATAAACAGATAGATAGACAACTGCAACTGCACTACACCACACTACAACTACAACTACAACTACAACTACAACTACAACTTCAACTACACCACCACTACAACTACAACTTCAACTACACTTCACCTACACTTCAACTACAAGAACTACAGCTACAACCACAACTACAACTTCAACTACAAACTCAACTACAACTACTACAAGTACAAGTGCCACTACAACTACAACTGCAATTACAACTACAACTGCAACAACTACTACAACTACACAGCAACTGCAACTGCAACTACAGCTGCAACTACAACTGGAACTACAAGTTCAGCTACGCTACAACTACACTTCAACTACAACTTCAACTTCAACTTCAATTAAACAACTACAACAACGACACTACACTACAAATACAACTTCAACTTCAACCACACTGCAACTACAACTTCAACTACACTACAACTACGACAACTACAACCACAACTACAACATTACAACTTCAACAACATCAACCCCACTACAACTATAACAACTACAGCTACAACTACAACTACTGCACTACACCACACTACATCCAGGAGTTGTCAGTGAGGTGAGCACTGCAACCATTGCAGCCACTCCAAAAAGCACAATTCCAACCACCTTTCGGTCCATCAGTGGATTCGCTCTGCAATCCATGCATCACAACAACTCACCTCTCCTATAGTGTCCTATCCCTGAAACTTCCGCCACCGCCTTGTGCGGTACTACTGGTATAATACTGTATCACCAATTCAATCCATTCTAGATCTCATTAAATCGCATTAAATTAAATTACTATCCCATGAAATCCCATTCATATCATCATTCTGCTGGTAAATGCCCCCAATTTTCAGACATGCGCAGCTGATATCCCACACCTTCCTCTCCTTGTCACCCTGTGGCACGGCCTCCCTGACGCCAGGCTTCTCCTGAAGATGGGCAAAATGCTAGAAACCAAGAAATCATTGTAGTTTCCTATGGTCTTTCCATGATTTCCTATGGTCTTTCCATGGTTTCCTGTGGTCTTCCCATGGTTTCGTATGGGTCTTTCCATGGTTTTCTATGGTCTTTCCATGGTTTCCTATGGTCTTTCCATGGTTTCCTACGATCTTTCCATGGTTTCCTATGGTCTTTTTCCATGATTTCCTATGGTCTTTCCATGGTTTCCTATGGTCTTTCCATAGTTTTCTATGGTCTTTCGATGGTTTCCTATGGTCTTTCCATAGTTTTCTATGGTCCATCGATGGTTTCCTATGGTCTTTCCATGGTTTCCTATGGGTCTTTCCATGGTTTCCTATGGGTCTTTCCATGGTTTCGTATGGGTCTTTCCATGGTTTCCTGTGGTCTTCCCATGGTTTCGTATGGGTCTTTCCATGGTTTCCTATGGTCTTTCCATGGTTTCTTATGGTCTTTCCATGGTTTCTTATAGTCTTTCCATGGTTTCCTATGGTCTTTCCATGGTTTCCTATGGTCTTTCCATGGTTTCCTATGGTCTTTTTCCATGGTTTCCTATGGTCTTTCCATGGTTTCCTATGGTCTTTCCATGGTTTCCTATGGTCTTTCCATGGTTTCCTATAGCCTTCCCATGGTTTCCTATGGGTCTTTCCATGGTTTTCTATGGTCTTGCCATGGTTTCCTATGGTCTTTCCATGGTTTCCTGTGGTCTTTCCATGGTTTCCTATGGTCTTTCCATGGTTTTCGATCGTCTTTCCATGGTTTTCTATGGTCTTTCCATGGTTTCCTATGGCCTTCTCATGGTTTCCTATGCTCTTTCCATGGTTTCCTATGGTCTTTCCATGGTTTCCTATGGTCTTTCCATGGTTTCCTATGGTCTTTCCATGGTTTTCTATGGTCTTTCCATGGTTTTCTATGGTCTTTCCATGGTTTCCTATGGTCTTTCCATGGTTTCCTATGGTCTTTCCATGGTTTCCTATGGTCTTTCCATGGTTTCCTATGGGTCTTTCCATGGTTTTATGGTCTTTCCATGGGTCTTTCCATGGTCTTTCCATGGTTTCCTATGGTCTTTCCATGGTTTCCTATGGTCTTTCCATGGTTTCCTATGGTCTATGGTTTTCTATGGTCTTTCCATGGTTTCCTATGGTCTTTCCATGGTTTCCTATGGTCTTTCCATGGTTTCCTATGGTCTTTCCATGGTTTCCTATGGTCTATTCCCATGGTTTCCTATGGTCTTTCCATGGTTTCCTATGGTTTCCTATGGTCTTTCCATGGTTTCCTATGGTCTTTCCATGGTTTCCTATGGTCTTTCCATGGTTTCCTATGGTCTTTCCATGGTTTTCTATGGTCTATGGTCTTTCCATGGTTTCTTATGGTTTCTTTCCATGGTTTCCTATGGTCTTTCCATGGTTTCCTATGGTCTTTCCATGGTTTCCTATGGTCTTTCCATGGTTTCCTATGGTCTTGCCATGGTTTCCTATGGTCTTTCCATGGTTTCCTATGGTCTTTCCATGGTTTCCTATGGTCTTTCCATGGTTTCCTATGGTCTTTCCATGGTTTTCTATGGTCGGTTTCCTATGGTCTTTCCATGGTTTTCTATGGTCTTTCCATGGTTTCTTATGGTCTTTCCATGGTTTCCTATGGTCTTTCCATGGTTTCCTATGGTCTTTCCATGGTTTCTTATGGTCTTTCCATGGTTTCCTATGGTCTTTCCATGGTTTCCTATGGTCTTTCCATGGTTTCCTATGGTCTTTCCATGGTTTTCTATGGTCTTTCCATGGTTTCTATGGTCTTTCCATGGTTTCCTATGGTCTTTCCATGGTTTCCTATGGTCTTTCCATGGTTTCCTATGGTCTTTCCATGGTTTCCTATGGTCTTTCCATGGTTTCCTATACTCTTTCCATGGTTTCCTATACTCTTTCCATGGTTTCCTATGGTCTTTCCATGGTTTCCTATGGTCTTTCCATGGTTTTCTATGGTCTTTCCATGGTTTCCTATGGTCTTTCCATGGTTTCTTATGGTCTTTCCATGGTTTCCTATGGTCTTTCCATGGTTTCCTATACTCTTTCCATGGTTTCCTATGGTCTTTCCATGGTTTCCTATGGTCTTTCCATGGTTTCCTATGGTCTTTCCATGGTTTCCTATGGTCTTTCCATGGTTTTCCTTTCCATGGTTTCCTATTCTTTCCATGGTTTCCTATGGTCTTTCCATGGTTTCCTATGGTCTTTCCATGGTTTCCTATGGTCTTTCCATGGTTTCCTATGGTCTTTCCATGGTTTCCTATGGTCTTTCCATGGTTTCCTATGGTCTTTCCATGGTTTCCTATGGTCTTTCCATGGTTTCCTATGGTCTTTCCATGGTTTCCTATGGTCTTTCCATGGTTTCCTATGGTCTTTCCATGGTTTTCTATGGTCTTTCCATGGTTTTCTATGGTCTTTCCATGGTTTCCTATGGTCTTTCCATGGTTTTCTATGGTCTTTCCATGGTTTTCTATGGTCTTTCCATTGTTTCCTATGGTCTTTCCATGGTTTCCTATGGTCTTTCCATGGTTTCTTATGGTCTTTCCATGGTTTCCTATGGTCTTTCCATGGTTTCCTACATCCACTGAGGTCTAACATCAATCTTTAAACCTGGACCTGGATTTTCAGGATTGGGGATATCAACCCAAAACATGAGAGGCCACAAGGACCACGAAACTCATAGATTATTACCGGGATTCAACCAACCCACAATGAGGCATGGCTGTGGTTATTAAGCCGGCCGCCTTTCGCCCCCCCCCAAAACACTCAGCACTCGACCATCCGAAATTCAAAGCTGGGATGTCAAACAGTCAAACATACTGTTTCCTCTCTCTCTCTATATATATATATATATATATACGTATGTATATATATATATATATATACATACATAGGCACAGGTCAAAAGCTATCATTTACCATCTTTGGGGGTATGAACATCTATTTACCAACTATTTTGATCACCAGAGGTAGAGGGTTTCGAACCCCCATACTCAACTGTCAACCTGCCACCATGTCCTTGTCCCCAGGCAATTCAGGCCCACTGCTTGCGATCTCCTTGGGATCATGACAAACAACATGGTGTCTATGTAAAGAACCGTGAGAAATCATATCCAATAGTTGAAAGTCCAATACGAAGCGTGATCCACAGCACAAATTCAAACAGAATATTTCCAATCCAAAGTTCGAACAAAATTCAGTTATTGGATTGGATCACTTTGTTAGTTTATAAACTAACAAAATTCAGTCGGCATTTTTTAAGGATACTCCCCACATCCAAGTCATGGTCCTCCGAGGCAACGAAGCCCTGCCGGAGAGATTGATGTGGGGGGGGGTTATCGCCAGCAAACAGACAGGTAGGAATATATTTCTGTTTGAATAATAACATATAAGAAAGACTAGACTATACCGTATACAAATAATCATAAAAACATAATAAACATAATGAACATAATCACAACAATGAACATAACAATACATACATACGTGACATGACATGATATGATATGCCATGACATTACGTATCATGTTCCAAATGGGCGTTCAATCCGCCATGTGCAAACTTGGCGCATCATCTCTTGACTCTCCCCTCAGGGGTCCCCCTGGGCCTTTTCCTCAAGGGGAAAAATACAACACCTCCATTATATATGATTAATATGGACATAATAGTATAAATAATTTAAACTACATATAATGCACCCTCTTCATAGGATTCATGATGATATTTCATACACGAACTAATTTATGATTATATGAGTATGGAACAAAATTGTGTATATACCCAATTACTAACATATGTTTTCACCATTTCCCCCCAAATCTTTAATTTTGACCCGAACCGATCATATCGTACAACCACCAATGTTTCCCTCTGTTGCCTTCTTACTCTTGGACGACATCACCGAACCTGACGTGTCTCTGAGGTTTGGGCACCGAAGCTGCAAAAAACAATGTCGTTGCAGCTTAACAACAAAAACACTGCTGTCATAACCCCAAATAGAGCTGTAAAATGGTGTAGGTAAACGCACTGTTTTTTTTGGGTGATCGGATAATTGACTTTTCTGCATCTCTTTGTTTGGTTTATGAATAAATTTCATGAAATGATCATATGATCGCCAGGATTCACAACTTGTGAGGGATGGTCATCCAATCTTAATGGGAATTCAGCACAATTGGTTGTCCAACCTGGTATTTCCATGATGCAGCAAAAGAAAGAAATCATTTCATTGTGGTTCCCGGTTCAGTATTGTAAGTGTGAAGTCTACATTCAAGTGATGAACCACTCTTTAATCAACAGTTTCCCTGATGACATGGTGATCTGGCTGGGGGTTATACCGCCAGCTACCGCCATTTTCAGATACCCCCAACTAACCAAAACAAAGGACAGGTCTGCGACAAATCTCTGGGCTTGATGCAAAATTCCATGACTCACATGACGACATACCATTTTCCACATGTGTCAACATTGGCTATACCAAGAACTGTTCAAAGTTTTAGACCCTCACAGAAACACAAGGTGGTGCCACCAAATCATGTTTGTTGGTTTCAAACCCACTGGATATGGCTCCAAGTTTGGAACCCACCAACCCCCATGGTTTATGAGGAAATGCCCCATACAAAAGTGCGAATTAGAACGGGGGCAAACGACTTTTTTGCGAGTTATAACAGTTATAAATTCAAACCCCCAGTTCTGTTTCTTATATCACTTACCCTTCAGTAAGCTAACATAGATATATGCAACGGCCACCATTTCTGAATAGCGGATCTCTATTATCCTATGTAACTGCGTCCAACTTCTCAGGCACGGCACGTGTTTCCCAATAAATTAGGTCGTGATTCAGTCCCAACAACTATGATTATTATGGGTTTTTATACCATGGGTTGCTTTATTCAACTATGTATACTATTTTTAAAGTCTACAAGTCCCAACAAGCTAACCCATCAAATTAACCCACCAAGGTATATTCAAAGTACATGGCTCACATCTGCCCTGGCCACACACAGATTCACCCGCCTACAGCAGCAGTGATTGCTGCAAACTGTTCCTGAAACCTGAGGTTTCTTGCTCCGAAAATGGAATATATAATGGTACGTATTTATATCCCAAAATTGCCTGAATTTTGGTAACTTTGATCTTCAATTAAATTCTGTGGTACCTTATTTTCAATCATCTATATAGATATTTCATGTTCTTCATAAATGTTGCTTGGTCAATACTCCATGCCTCCGTAGGTTTTTTTTGCTGGTGGTTCGATGCTAAGAACCCTTCGATCTCGCCAAAGGTTTCGAGCTGAAAAGAGAATAACACCCCCAAACAATAGCGGAAATCACACATATCAAACATCAAGGGTTGTGTTACCCTGGAAACGCATGTCGACTGTGTATTTGCAACATGTTATCATCACCGCCCAAAAACAAAGGAACGTTTCAGAGACGTGTCAGGAAAAGTGGTGACGGTGACATTCCAAGAACTAGTTATTCAAGTTGACCCCATTTACATACATCTGTATCCAGCTACAATGTGAGGCCCCCAATAACTATGGTTTATGGTACTTATAACTATAGTTACTGGGGCTTATAAACCAACTTATAACTGGGGGGTATCCATCGAACGTATCCATCTAATTCTGAATTGTGTCTGATAACCCCCCCTATAGGACTCACTTTTTTATCATTTGCTAGCCGCAATTGACATAGTTAAAACCCCTAGTTCTAGTTTTTTTTTAATAGATAATATACACATTCATACACCATAGTTATCAACATTAATAAACCATAGTCCCAATGTTATCCAATGTTATCATGTCGTGCCACTTCGTCCTTTCCGTGACGCTGTGTGGGCCAAGTCGCCAGGCTCCTGGCGAGCTCGGAATCCTTGTGGCGATGGAGGACTGGGACGCGCACTTCATGGGGCCTGTGGCCACGCGGAGAACGTCACGGTTGGGTCCAAGGACCGGGGGAAACCACCGGCTTTTCAAAGATGTGTTCGAATGGAAACCGGTCGAAAAATTCGAAGAATTGACATCAGATGAATTGGTGAAGCCAAAATTCACTTGAATTCACTTCACGGTGAAGCCCAAATCCTTGAGGTACAATCTCATTTTCGCAATGAAACAGAGTGTGCTAGGTTTTTTTTTGTTTGGTTTAGGAGACACCCAATATGGAAAATCCATATATAATATAGTTTTACGACTAAATCACTAAAAACATGTTGTTCTCAATCTTTCATGATGGGAATCTCAACGTTCAAACGCTTACCTATTATAACCACGTGGTTGGGAAACTCAATTCGCAGCTCTTTGATGCTCTTTGGCCATGCCTAGAAGGGAAAAAGGATGCAACATGATACAACATAGCTCCAGACCGCTCCTTCCTAACCAACCAACACCCCCAACTGTAGCTATCTCCAGCAGAACTCAACCACTACAAGGTGGCCCCCCCACAGTGCCACAAGAATGCCAAGTTGCTTTGTAACTAGGTCAACTTGTAGTAGATCCATTGTTTTTTGTTCATGGCCTTGAAAGAAACATTTAAAAAACCAACGAACAAAATACAGCCTCCGCCTCGCCTCCAGCGTCGTCACCCACCTCCGTCTCCGCCACGGGCGGCGCCTCGTTCTGCCTGAGGTGACGAGTCATCAGACATGTCATGGGGGATGACTTACAATGGATATTCATGCGATATTAACAACATCAATAATGGAAATATACGGAAATATATGGAACATGTGTGGAAATATGAACCATATAACCATATCGAATTGAAATATATGGATATCAATGGGAATTTCAGGATCCTAAAATAGATATACTGTACCATATAAGGCCATATTCTGTGGGGATATTCCCTTACATAGGCCTTTTATAGGCCTTATACATGGTAGGTACCTCGAATTTAGGTTCCTGAAATTCCCATTGAGGCTATATTAAACATATAAATATAATGGATTATATATTGGGATATTAAACATCAATAATCGGAATATCACAAAACATATACTTGATGCAATGGAAAAAAACTTGTTGCTTCAATGGATATCTATGGATTGGTTTCGGGAAAATCCTCACTGGAAACCATGGTTGGTTACCATCAAATTGGTTGCTGTTTCCCTGCCTCCTGAATAGCAGTGCTCAGAACCTTAAGTCCTTTACACTCTGAAGGTGTGTAGGAGCGAGTGCGGCTTCCAAAACGCACCAGAGTCGTGGCATCCCCATGTGTAGGGTATCCACGCTCTGAGGACATCAATGCTTTGGCCGAACCAAGCGTGAGCTTGATTCCGTCCACTTGGACCAATTCCTGAAGCTCCATCATCGCGTCGTCGAATACCGACGATTTCCCAGATCCAGTGCCCGGCCATGTGCGCTTCCCTACTAGGAAAGGCACCATCTTCCCATTGATGTTCAGAAATTCTTCACGTGGCTCTTCTCCTGCATTGCCAGTAGAACCCGCACCATCGTCATCTTCGTCATCATCATCTGTGGCATCACCTTCTCCACCAGCATTTGCTTCCTGTCCTCCTTCTCCTTCCATCCAGCAGCTTCTGTGGTACCCAAAAAAAACAATCCACGGAGTACAATCATCCTGAAGTAGATACCCATAGGATCCATGGTGCTGCCATACATGGTGTGCCATGGATCCCATCAATATACCCCATTTTTGCTAGCATATATACCATAATTACATGGATCCTATGGGTATATAGGATATGGACATGTCATTTTTTAACATTCCATGTTTGCCATATTCTAACCATATGCTGAGCGAACTCCAAAAGGATGATCACAAAGAGTCACCGAATGGCTCGCTATGCTGGCTATGGTCAATGCTAACCGATCTAGAGTCATAGCCCTTAACAGTTATATATCACTGGCTTATAACCCATTTAAAGTGACATATGTTATATATATATAATTATATATATATATATTATATTATATTATATTATATTATATATAGTGTATATATATATATGTATATGTATCATACATATATCCGCCGACCCCAGACAGCAGCAGGGGGAGCGCGTCAGAGGACCAAGGCCTGGCATTCATGTGGCAGAAGCAACATCATCCGTGCTTCACTGCCATGGGGAAAAATGTGAATGTGTCTGTGTCTGTGTGTGTGTGTGTCTGTGTGTGTGTGTGTGGGTGTGTGTGTGTGGGTGTGGGTGTGGGTGTGGGTGTGGGTGTGGGTGTGGGTGTGGGTGTGGGTGTGGGTGTGTGTGTGTGCGCCTGCTGTATCTGTGTGTGTGACCCTGCCTCTGCAGGCGCGGCTCCAGCGACCGTCGCGCCAGTCCCAGCCACTAGGCCAGTATGGCTGACCACCCCCGCCGCCAGTGTGTGGTGGGAAGGCGGAATACGGCCGATCCCCCTCGGCCCAGACTCCACCTGGTTCCTGAAGTCTAATGTAGAAAACAGAATCAAGAAATGCCTCCATCTGAGGAAACACAATTTCTACACTTATTTTGAGAGACCAACGTCTCCCAAAACAGACATTCCAATAAGAAGCTGATGTGAAAGTGCGTCCAATGTTGCATGTACGTATGGCTGCAGGTCAAGGCTTCTGCTTGCTGATGTGCACTCACAGACGGTCCTCGTTACTTCTTTGGGCAATTTGTTGTCCTTGCTACAAACTACATCGAATGAAGGCACACGATGATCTGCCCACCTGAATCTACTTGTCAGGTCAAACAAAAATGCGGACTGCTTGCAGGATGTGCTCCATTCTAACTATGTCCTCGTTTTCTGGCTTCTGTGCTTCCTCCAAGACAGAGTCAAGCACTGCGACCATCTGAAAAAAAAACAGCATTGCCACAATCATTTTTCACGAAACCAACGTCTCCGGGAACAGACGCTCCCATAGAAAGATGATGTCAAAGTGCATCCAATGTTTCATGTACGTATGGCTGCAGGTCAAGGCTTCTGCGTGATGATGTGCACTCACAGAGGGTCCTGGTTCCTTCCTTTGGGCAGTTTGGTGTCCTTGCTACAAACTACATCGAATGAAAGCACACGATGATCTGCCCACCTGAATCTACTTGTCAGGTCAAACAAAAATGCAGACTGCTTGCAGGATGTGCTCCATTCTAACTACTTCGTCCTCGTTTTCTTCCTTCCGTGCTTCCTCCAAGACAGAGTCAAGCACTGCGACCATCTGAAAAAAAACAGCATTGCCACAATCATTTTTCACGAAACCAACGTCTCCGGGAACAGACGCTCCCATAGAAAGATGATGTCAAAGTGCATCCAATGTTGCATGTACGTATGGCTGCAGGTCCAGGCTTCTGCTTGCTAATGTGCACTCACAGACGGTCCTCGTTCCTTTCTTTGGGCCCTTTGTTGTCCTTGCTACAAACTACATCGAATGAAGGCACACGATGATCTGCCCACCTGAATCTACTTGTCAGGTCAAACAAACAGGCAGACTGCTTGCAGGATGTGCTCCATTCTAACTACTTCGTCCTCGTTTTCTTCCTTCTGTGCTTCCTCCAAGACAGAGTCAAGCAATGCGACCATCTGAGCAAATAGCATTTCCACATTTAGTTTTCACGAAACCAACGTCTCCGGGAACAGACGCTCCCATGGAAAGATGATGTCAAAGTGCATCCAATGTTTCATGTACGTATGGCTGCAGGTCCAGGCTTCTGCTTGCTGATGTGCACTCACAGACGGTCCTCGTTCCTTTCTTTGGGCCCTTTGTTGTCCTTGCTACAAACTACATCGAATGAAGGCACACGATGATCTGCCCACCTGAATCTACTTGTCAGGTCAAACAAACAGGCAGACTGCTTGCAGGATGTGCTCCATTCTAACTACTTCGTCCTCGTTTTCTTCCTTCTGTGCTTCCTCCAAGACAGAGTCAAGCACTGCGACCATCTGAAAAAAAAACGGATTACCACAAGTATTTTTCACGAAACCAACGTCTCCGGGAACAGACGCTCCCATGGAAAGATGATGTCAAAGTGCATCCAATGTTGCATGTACGTACGGCTGCAGGTCCAGGCTTCTGCTTGCTGATGTGCACTCACAGACGGTCCTCGTTCCTTTCTTTGGGCCCTTTGTTGTCCTTGCTACAAACTACATCGAATGAAAGCACACGATGATCTCCCCACCTGAATCTACTTGTCAGGTCAAACAAACAGGCAGACTGCTTGCAGGATGTGCTCCATTCCAACTACTTCGTCCTCGTTTTCTTCCTTCTGTGCTTCCTCCAAGACAGAGTCAAGCAATGCGACGATCTGAGAAAACCGCATTTCTACAGTTATTTTTCACGAAACCAGCGTCCCCGAGAACAGACGTTTCCATTTTGCTTCCTGATATGCACACAATTGCACACATAGAAGAGCAGCCAATGATCTGCCCACCCTCTGCTGCATGTCAGTGCGAACAAAACTGCGGAATGATGCTCCCACTGCTTGCAGGCTGTGCTCAATGCTGACTCGTCCGTCCTCCTTGTCTTCCTTCTCTGCTTCCTCCTAGCCAGAGTCAATACATGCCGCCATCGAAGAAAACACAGTTTCTACAGCTATTGAAAGAAAGCAACATTTCCGAGACCAGATGTTCCCATAGGAAGATGATGCCAAAGTACATCCAGAGTTGCAGGTATGTGCAGCTGCAGGTCGCAGTGTTTGCTTGCTAATATGCACTCGCAGAGCCGCCTCTTGCCTTTCTTCTGTAGCAGTAGTACCAGTACTAACAATATAGTCATAGTACTAGTCGTAGTAGTAGTAGTAGTAGTAGTCGTCGTAGTAGTAGTAGTAGTCGTCGTCGTCGTCGTAGTAGTAGTACTAGTACTAGTACTAGTACTAGTACTAGTAGTAGTAGTAGTAGTAGTAGGAGTAGTAGTAGTAGTAGCAGTAGCAGTAGCAGGAGTAAAAGTAGGATTAGTAGTAGTAGTAGTAGTCGTCGTCGTCGTCGTCGTCCTCGTAGTAGTAGTAGTAGTAGTAGTAGTAGTAGTAGTAGTAGTAGTAGTAGTAGTAGTAGCAGTAGCAGGAGTAAAAGTAGGATTAGTAGTAGTAGTAGTAGTAGTAGCAGGAGTAGTAGTAGCAGTAGTAGTAGTAGTAGTAGTCGTAGTAGTAGTCGTAGTAGTAGTAGTAGTACTAGTAGTAGTACTAGTAGTAGTACTAGTAGTCGATAGTAATAATAGTAGTAGTAGTAGCAGTAGTAGTAGTAGCAGCAGTAGTAGTAGCAGTAGTAGTAGTAGTACTAGTAGTAGGAGTAGTAGTAGTAGCAGCAGCAGCAGTCAGCAAAGTAGCAACAGCAGCGCGTCCGCCCAAAGGAGTATCTATCCACATGTCGTAACATAACACCAACTTCTAGATCTAACATGTTGCACCTAGACCCAACAATATCAACCCTGTCAGCGGCTGGTTCATTACGCTTTTGGTCTCGCTTTGACTTTCGGCTTTGTCTGGCAAGCGCTTCTTGTAAAAATGCACACTGCTTTAAAAATCCCAAAGGTCATTCGAACATTCCAAACCACTCTGATCCCGGCCTGCATAACAGTTGGGGGCTTCTTTGGGGCTTTCACGCTGGCTTTCTTTTTTTTCTTTGTCCCCTCCGCAGGATCAAGGGACAGCCTTCTGACGTCTTCGGAGGCCCTTTCGCATGCATGACGTATATACATCTTTCCCTCTATATCTACATGTTTCTCTCTCTCTCTATAGATAGCTATGTTGACAAACTGCCAACCTCTATACAGTTCATAAGTTAGCCATTGGCTCCCGAAAGCATATCCAAACACTAGAATAACATCCCTGAAGATTTCAACGAACGCACCCTTCAGCTTCAACTGCAGGAATCCATGGGGATCACCTGTTAGTGGAAAGACCCAGATACATTTTGGGTCGAATTTGGACGCCTCACCAACTTGGCGCTTCTTGACTTTCTTCGGGCAAAGTAAAGACACAGAAGATAGTGAAGCCACATGATGCTTTGCATTGAAAGCTAGTCCGCGTCCAACTTTATAAACTAGTAGCGTCGACATGCAACATCACTCTCCGGCCTCCGTGGCAGCTACTGCAGGTGTCTCGGTTGCCTTGCGCATCTGCCCAAAAAAAGTCGGTCACCCATGCCACTCCAACATACGACAGATTACCACATTCATTCTGGTTCATGAGTTGGCCTCCTCACTCCACCAGTTTTCATTCCATTCTCCGTATTGTTCATCATATGCGTCCTGCGCAACCAAAACTCCCTGATGATTTGAGAGAAAAGATCAAGTAGACAAATCCTTCCCGGTGGGTCGGTCTGTCCTTCTTCTCCTTCTTCAGAACCTTCCTTTTCTTTACCCTTGGTCAGTGAACAGAAAATGGCTTTTCTTCTATGTACTCCACATGTCCAATGATTTCACATGAACAAAAACCTTACAGACTGGACTCTGTCATCATGCGCCCTGCCATTACCATCTGCCAACGCACATCAGCCCCACACGCACGCTACAGACCACGCAGGAGCTTGAGACACCACAGCTGCAGGCACCACATTTGCCCTCCAATCAACAAGCAGGAACGAGCCGTTGCTCTACTCGTTTCCAATTGCAAGACGTCAATCGCCACCACCCGGTATCCAAGCTGCGTTCCATCATACTGGGGTCGGCGGCAGGGGGCGTAGCCCTTTTATTAAATATAAATTATGTAATTAACCACAGTTACAGGATTTATTTCATCCCACTTATAACTGTAGCTACATTTGGACTTTTTTTGTTGAGGCAAATATTAGTGTTACGCTGGTGACGTGGTGAAATGTTGCTTAACATTTCCATGGAGAGCCAGCCATCGAATTAGTGAGATGATCATCCCAAACACAACTTGGGAAGCACAAATTCAATAGGTCAAACCACCAAACATGCTTCAACGGGTGTAGTACAATATATATATATATATATACAACTATATAGAGCCATAGATCTCATATCCAAGAGATACAGTAAAAAGTGTATACACAATCTATGACACACATCATACATATCAATATCAACATGTTTTCACCACCCTGTGAAGTGCAGCCGGGCCAACGATCAACTTCTTGGTCATTGGTGGATCTTCCAAGCTCCCTTCACCGTCCCAAAACATTGGGGTTTGTCTGAGAATGGGGTATTGCCCCCCACCAAAATAGCCTATTAAACAGAGAAAATGATGATTCATCAGTGAATTTCGAGGGCTACCCATTTTTCTTAAAGACGTTTACCAACATTAAAAAAAACACAACAGGAGCGCCGGCTCTGTAACCATGCGCTGCCCTTCATCCCAGCAGCTGAGGATTCACATCCTGCGTCTGGTTTTGATGCGCCATGAACTTTCGGATGCGTTCCAACCTGCGACCGTTGAAACCGCGGAAACGCGAGGCGAGGAGACCCGACCGATGTGAAAAAACCGATGTCTTGCCGCCGGCAAGGGAAAAAGAAAACAACTGCTTGGATGGCTCGGGGATTCTGAATCGCTTAAAATGGGAAATCTCATGAAATTGAGTGTATGATTTTGTTTTCCTCGGCAATGTTCCAGTCTTTGTCCTTTTCCATCTCTACAGAAAAGTAAAGGATGGTCAAGAAAAGGTTTCTGGAACCCTGGAAACCACTTACCCTCTGGTAGACTAACACAGCTATCTGAAAATTGCCATTTATGGTTGATTTACCTATTAAAAATGGTGATTTTCATGGATTTTCCATAGTTGTTTGTATGTTTACCAGAGGGTACCTGTTCTCCAAAGACTCGACAGCGTCGCTCAGCCACACCGAGGCGAGGCGCGTTTTGCTCAGTTGTGCCCCATCACCTGGTGGGTCCTTCGGATGGGGCCCCCAGTCGAGTTCGCGTGAACCGTTGCCGAAAAAAAGTGGCTGAATTCTATGGTTTTAGGGATATAACGAACTAGTGGGGTCTATAAACCAACCTGTAAGAAACCCATTTTGATGTTTTAAGCAAAGCGCATGGTTTGCAATATCCCGTTAAATGGTGAGATTCAGGATAGTTCATATAATTCCAGCAAGACACAGAGACGGGCGAAGAGGATGCATCCCATTGCGGGCTCCATGTCCGTGGCTACCAAGGCATGGTGATTTGATTGTGGGGTATCGCCAGCTCTGGCTAGTCAAGGGTTTATCATCCCATTGCCCTGGCGCCGTTCGTATCATCAAAGACTTCTGGTTCAGTCCAAATTGATATGTTGTGATATTAGTTGTGATATCACATTAATTAAAGATGTTCGCGAACATGTTTTCTCCACGATAATATCATTCCCAAATGCTCCGTGTATGGAACATTTACCAAGATTTACCCCAAAATTGCCCAAACGTAGGAACATATACCATACAGTAATATGGAGCATATGACTGGTTGGTGGTTTCAACCCCTCTGAAAAATATTAGTCAGTTGGGATGATTATCCCATATATTATGGAAAATAAAAGCCATGTTCCAAACCACCAACCAGATAATGATAGTTAAGTTGGGCTTGAACTCATATAACTAGGGTTTATGGCAGATATATTTGTAGCACACGGGGCATCTAGATAAAATTGAATGGACTTATAACTGGTCAAACAACTGAACTAATCCCTTCAGAATAAAACAAACACACACACAAACACACCAGAAACCATGGTTTAGTGGGGGGACCCTGTATCCTTCAGGTCCTATTCCTCTCCTCGTCACAAGGCATTATATTCCCATCATTCGCTGCAGCTCCACTGTCCTGAGTCCAGCTGTGTTCCAGGGCGTCGTCAATGCTGATGCGATCCTAGCACCATGGCCAGCTGGAAAAGACCCAACGAAACCTAGAGATGTTCATGAGAAAATGATCAAATGTCGAATGTAGATGAACCACATGATGCACCAAATGATAAATCAAATGATAAATGAATCAAATGATAAATCAAATGATGAATCAAATGATAAATCGAATGATGAATCAAATGAAAAATCAAATGATAAATCAAATGATAAATCAAATGATAAATCAAATGATAAATCAAAAAATAAATCAAATGATGAACCAAATGATAAATCAAATGATAAATAAAATAATGAATCAAATGATAAATCAAATGATGAATCAAATGATAAATCAAATGATAAATCAAATAATGAATCAAATGATAAATCAAAAAATAAATCAAATGATGAACCAAATGATAAATCAAATGATAAATAAAATGAATGAATCAAATGATAAAAATCAAATGATGAGTCAAATGATGAATCAAATGATAAATAAAATAATGAATCAAATCATAAATCAAATGATGAACCACATGATAAATCAAATGATAAATAAAATAATGAATCAAATCATAAATCAAATGATGAATCAAATGATAAATCAAATGATGAATCAAATGAAAAATCGAATGATAAATCAAATATGAATCAAATGAAAAATCAAATGATGAATCAAATGATGAATCATGATGAATCATGATGAATATAGTATATAATTCCAGTCTAATAGGGATTTTACTCGGGTGATGCAGGTGTGATGGAAAAACAGACCATGTTTTTTCACCATGGGGACTTCATCTCCACAAGTGGTCGACTCGGTGGTGCAAACCATGGTGCCGGTTAGAACTGGAACTGCACCCCCAAGCGGCCCCAAGCATCCACCAGACTTGCTTGTTCTGCATGAGATTGTCACGGCATGTCACGGCTAAGTTTGGATACCATGGATACCTCAGAACAAAAGTAGCTTTTGAGTTCCAGATGATATACCGTATGTGTTCCGTTCAAAAACTGTGAAACAACAACGCATCCACCAGCCATTCACCAGGTGCTCCGAGGTTGTCCGGCGGCGCAGTCCTTGACTTTCATCTTCAACAGCGAACGGATCAACGCTTTTGCGTTCTGGCGGAAACTCGTGAGAAAAAAGGGTCCCACATGGAAAAGCGTGGAACTTCTGAACCAAAAAAAGAAACCTTACCAGCTGGGTGTTCCTGTTCTTCCAATCCGTGCCCAGTAGTTGGGTTTATCATGGAGATTACGGAGTCAGAACCCACCATTTTATGGATGTTTTCCCACATATTCCCATTGAAACCTCTATTTGGGGATTTCCTAGCTAGCCACGTTTGATTACCGAAGGGTAATAACTTTGGTATGAAAATGTATTGAAACCGATTGAAACCGTGCTTTTTTGTTCAGCTTCCATCTCAAAAAAACTTGAAAAGCTTGAGAAATATGCATCTGTCTTCCTCGACTCCAAGGCTGGAAAGGAGTACCCTCTGGTAAACTAACGTAACTATGGAAAATCACCATTTTTAATGGGAAATTCCACTATAATTCACCATGTTCAATAGCTATGTTGGTTTACCAGATGGTAAGCTTATCACAAATCGATGACCCAAGATATGACCACCTCCTTCAACAAACATCCCCAAAACCGTACACGATTCAGAACATAAATCAAGCGGGTGAGACGGCTGAACATGCCACAATGTACCACCATCATGCTCCCTTAGGCCCTGTCCTTCCTGTGACTACCAGCCGCAGCAGCATGTAAGAAATTGGCACTGCAGGGCTCGCAGTAGAATTTTTGGTCAGAAACTCAAACATCAAATCCTTCGAACCTCCGATGCTAGGAGTCGTTATCACCTGGCAACAGTGCACCACTGAGTAGTGAGGCCTGCCACAGAGGCAGCTGTGGAAGCAAAGCCTTCACCGAAACTCACCATCTCCGCTTCAAAGGCCACGGCAGGAAATCTGTCGTGACTTGTGGTATTGTGTTTGGCCAGTTCTTGGATGCTTCAGAGGAGCCATATTCTCTCGCGGTAGGATACTGCATCTCCCAAAGCTGCTTGAAACTCTTGCCGTTTTCCTCTCTGATTCTCCTCTGAGCGCACCACAGTTTGACTCTCCCACTCGAAAGAAGCCATAAGTTAGGAGAGGAAATCGCGAAAGGTGGTTGGATTTCCCAGTTGATCATATGGCATATGAATCCTGGGTTACATATGGATATGGTGGATATGGCTCAAACATGGAGTACGAATGAGCCACAACGATTGGTCATCTTGAGTGGTAAAACATCAATGTTGGGAAGGGGATTATTTTGAGCAGTCCTAACTTCTACACGTTTTTTTTTCTGGGCTAAATCCTCTGGTTTGGGGTCTTGTATAGACACTAAACATCCCCTAAGGATCCATGTATGGAATATTTACCTACATTGGGATTATTTTAAATTCCTTTAGGGGTCAATGTAGGTAAATATTCCATACATGGATCCTCTGGGATCACTAAACCCTATCTAGCTATACTTGGTGGTTTCGAACCCCCGAAAAATATGCTCGTCAGTTGGGACGATCATCACAGGTAGCACGGTTTTGTTCGAATGAACCCCCCCATCAGGTATACAGTATACAGTACCATGTGGTAAACCCAAGGGTAAACCATCCCCAAGTCATCACAAAAAAATGGGGTCTCTACCAAAAATAAGTTATGAGTTGTATGTCCAACATCCCCAAATGGTGTATATGTTTTTGGCCTTGGGTTTACAACATGATGGTTCCTAAAGCCAAGTCTTCTCCAGTTCCAAACCCCACACCTCCGAGACGATGGACCAGTCTCTGGCGGGAAAGGAGTAGTTACCCCTGGCGCGACACCCCGAGATTCGCATGTTGGCACAGTTGGCCCTAGGGTTTATGGTAGATATATCACTGTAGCTTAACTATTGGATTGGTGGATGTTCATGCTATTTTTAAACACTTCGAAAGGATTGAACCATGGCCAATCTTAGCCGCTTAGCCAAACATAGTGAAACAAAAAAGTACGTTGTGGTATCATAATCTGGTTGGTGGTTTGAACCCCTCTGAAAAATATTTGTCAATGGGAAGGTTTATCCCATATATTATGGAAAAAAACATGTTCCAAACCACCAACCAGCAATGTATCCATCCAAGGTTTTCTGATGTCATGCGTCATGAAGGCAACCCCCCCCGGAAGCTTTCAGATCTATCGTCAGTTGCAAAGCTGCCTGCGGATGGCTGTCATAATGGCCGCATCTGTCTCTCCACGAAAAGGGGGATAGCCGCACAGGAGGATGTATAGCAAGACCTCATCTGATCAGCGACGTGCGCCGGGACCATCATTACCATCCAGAGGTGGTCCATTCCTGTCGTGAAAAAATGTCCAACTGAGATCACGATGTCCTCCTACCCAAATAGTGATGCATTCTGGTTGGTGGTTGACCTACCCCTCTGAAAAATATTGATCAGTTGGGATGATTATTCCATATATATATATACATATGGAAAAATAAAAAATGTTCCAAACCACCAACCAGCATTATATGTCTATCCTTGTGGCGACTGCTATAATCTAAAATATGTGAAGATAAAAAAATGGATCTGGAGCCAGGTACCCCGGAAAACACCAGGATATCTGGTAAATAGAAGTTTGATGAACTCTGCATGGCCCCCATTCAGATAGCCCCTAGCCGGTATTGACGACCTATCCGCATATTACCGTTTTCGCGGAACCCCAAACATCGCGAATTCAAACATAGGTATGACTTGTATGTAACTCTGAATATACAAATATATATAAGCATAAGTTGTAGAACCCCCGTTTGGCTTAAGACTGCTTTTACCGTTTTGGTGCAGGAGGGGGGGGGGTATTGGTGCACGGCTGGTGCGCGGAAAAGGAAAATAGGGGCAAGGGTGGGTCTGGGAAGGGAAAAATAGGTGCGGGAGTGGGTTCTTGCCAATCTGTGGATCCAGTCAGGATCCCGTCGGGACCCAGTCGGGCACCAATTTTTGCATTTTTGGGCACCGCTTTTGGCCAGTCGGGATCCAGTCGGGATCCAGTCGGGATCCAGTCGGGATCCAGTCGGGCACCAATGTCGGGAGGCAGCCAAATTCATAAAAAATAGCATTTTTGCAGTGTTTTTGCATGTTTTTCGGTGATTTTGGCTGCTTCCCGACAGGTCCAAACGTGGTGCCAAAAATTCGAAAATTGGTGCCCGACTGGATCCCGACTGGATCCCGACTGGATCCCGAAAAAGCGGTGCCCAAAAATGCAAAAATTGGTGCCCGATTGGGTCCCGACTGGGTCCCGACTGGGTCCCGACTGGATCCCGACCCGGTTTCTTCAAAAAAACACCTATTTCCTTAAATTTGAGCACCTATTTTTGAAATTTTAGCACCTTGCCGTGCACCACCCCCCCCCGTTTCCCCCTCTCCGGACCCCCCCCCACCAGTCTTAAGCCAAACACGGGCTTGGCAAAGCATAAGTGTCAAGTGACGAGCAAAAAATCATCCAACCCAACAAAAAAGGAAGATCAAGCATTCAATGTGCAGCCCACTGTAAAATCAGTCATCTAGATAACATTTTTTCCTCTAACCTACGCCCAGAGCCCGAGATTGCTCATTGAATTGATATCTACTTGGTAGCGCACCCCAGTTAGTAAGTGCCTTATTCGCGGTTATTACTCCAGCTAATCCAGGGTAAAGGTGATCATCATATTTTCCCTGGGGTTGAACTAATATATGATAATCCATTTAGTAAGTGGGCTTAACCACCACATATAAAAACTCAAAAATATAGATACAAGTAAATATATAAGTAAATATTACAGTATATATATATATGGCTGTTGATCAAAATTCCTTTATCCGCAAACGGCCATTCTTCGCCATATACTGAATATATATATATATATATATACCATCTGGTTATTTAATATAGCCATGGAAAATCACTGTGTTTTTTAGTTCGGTAAACAATCTATAAATAGGCCATCTATACCATGGCTATGTTAGTCATAACCAGAGGGTAAATGGAAAATACATTTGCCATATATGATAACATGGATCCCATCAATATACCCCAGTCATGTTATAATATATACCAGCACCATGGATCCGTCATGGGTACCCGCTGGTAAATTAACATAAACCCTGGCAGTCATCGGGGTTGGAAGATTAGTTTCCATTAAAAAATGGTGATTTTCAGGGTCAACAAGTTAATTTACCAGAGGGTATATATATATAAAAAGATACCCAAGTCATGTTAGCATATATACCAGCACCATGGATCCGTCATGGGATATATAAATAGAAAATACAGGAACAAACACCATTTGGCAGTGTGTCAAAACCCTATCCCCCTTTTTTTGTTCACATCAAAATAGCTGGGATTTATGGATGTGAATAACCCACTAAAAATGGCATTAATAGGTATTGATCCATAGCCATATCTAGATATTGCCCCTACCCGAGTAGGAATATTGTGTTTGTTCCACTGAGTTCTATAGGATTCTATAGGTATTGACCCATACCCATTTCTGTATCGGGACGTCCCAAGAAAAGCCATGGAGATTTGCCAAATCCATCCAGGTGGCTCCGCAGCTCCACAGGTCGACCCGGTGGTCATAGCGACACTCCAGCACCTGCCAGGAATCCGTGGTGCTTTCATGGAGAAAAAACAGGGTTTTCATGCGATTTTAATATGGTTTAATAGGAAGAATAATGGGATAATGATGGTTTTTAATATGGTTTTAATAGGAAGAATAATGGGATAATGATGGAATATGGTTTAATATGGTTTTAATATGACCATCCTAGACTAACAGTTCGATGTGGAAAAAACAACACCATTTGGAGATTTCCTACAATGAGGGTACCCCTAAATCATCCATCTTACTTTTGGAATTTCCATTGAACAAACCATAAATTGGGGATCCCCCATGACTATGGAATCCCCTATATATCCAAAAGTTACAATACCAACCAACTCCCACCAAATCCCAACATAGTCACTATAATCCCAAAAACAAATATTCACAGAATTGTGGATGGTAGCGAAATCCTGGACCTTGGATGGTTGAAACCCTAACAATAATGTGAGTAAAACAATAATAAACCATTTGGGAATGGTAAATGGTAAACATATCACGGCTTATTGGTGATTTGGGGGATTTTGGGGGGTGGTTCATGATTGTTTTACCCACATTAGGATCAACTACCCTCTGGTAAACGTTTACATAACTATGGAAAATCACCATGTTTTTTTTAATGGGAAAATTCACTATTTCAATGGTCATTTTCAATAGTTTTTTGTTAGCTTACCAGAGGGCAAATCCCATTAAAACCAGCATTTTGTTGGTTAAACCCCATTAAACCACCTTTTTTTTACCACCATTTTGACATAACCAGAGGGTACCTATCAACCAACAGGATCTAGGGTTTTCCCCGTGGGGAAACCCCCTGGTTTCGCTGCCTGCGGCGCCACGTAGACCACGGTGCCGGCGCACTGCCGCAGCACTTCCCCAGGAGTGAAGCTGCAGGCCAGGCCGAAGTCAACGACCTTCCTGAAACCGTGGGTTCAAGGCGGAAACCGCGCCAGAAATGGCTACTTTAATGCTGGACATGGTGAACAAATATGGGAAAATCCATGAAAATCCGAGGTAAACCAGCAAAAAATGGTGATTTAAGATGATTTAATGGGATTTTTCATGATGATATCATGGGACTTAATGGGAAACTCCAGTTCTATAATGGGATATTATAGCCCATGGTGACTTCACCCTCCATGTTTGTTGGGATATGGGGCGCCCAAACTATGGTGATGGCTCTATCCACTTAGCTCACTGCAGTTCTGCACTTCCAAGAAACCAATAGGACACATACAAACACATACATATGTTCCTAAATCACAATTGGACATATACAACAATATATTACCAATATTGGATGGCATGCATGTTCCTATAATTCAAAATCAGCTATGCAAAATTGGAATACTTGGGATATAGTGGTGGACTTGAACAACCTTGGCTCTTTTTCCTTCACCAACAATGTGTACATGGGATTACAGTAACCAGCAACGATGGGGGTAGATCAAGAACAGATAAGACTAATGGTGATTATAATGGTGATATTAATGGCATAGCAATTTCAATTGGATGTATAACCAACGGTAGTATAATTTGGGTGATTGATGGGACGTAAAACCAGCAATATATTAATTGGGAAATCAAATGTATATATATATATATCAATGGGGGATATAGTCTAATACGAGTGACTTCGCACTGAAAACGACACAGTTGAGACCGAGAATCGAACAACAAAGCACACTGGATGTCACAAAGTAGGTTGTCCAAACGTTAAAAAATCCAAGAGCTGAACCGGCATGGGTTTCTGCAAAAACACGGAGCTTCAGCTTCGTTCAATTTTTTTCAAACTACGCCCACTCTGTACAGACATGGCAACCTCAGTCTTCCAGCAGCTGTTCCAATTCGGTCTGAAGTCTGAAGATTTGAATCCCTAGTTCACCCCATGGTTTACATGAAAAAAATGCGGCTCAACGTTGAAGACTTAAAACATCTTAAAACACAAGGTTTATCCGCATGTTTGTTGTATCTGAATGTTGTTGGTTCAATCACACAGATCTCCGGTTCAAAGTGCAGGACGAGATTCACCACATTCTCGTGGCATGGAGCATGACTCAGCAGCAAAGTATTGCTGTGTTTCAGATCCTCGGCAGATCGGTAAAACATAGAAGATTTCACTCACGTGGGAAACCCAATGTCATAAACAACAACCCATTTGGGATGGTTTATAGCACCAATTTATGGTGATTTTTGCAATTATTTATTATTAGGTTTATCACATCAATCTGAAAAGTTCGGCGATTTTGGGATATAGTTGCCCCTCGAAGCAACATTCCAGGGTTCGGTCGAGGCACCCGATGACAAACCTGCTGGGAGTGCATGTAGCGCACCGCTTTGAAGACCTGGGCACACTGTTGTTTTTTGATGAACCCTTTGGTAAGGATGATTTACCTATGAAAAATGGACGTTCATTGACATAAACTGGGAAAATCTTTGAAATCCACCATAAATGGATGGTTGAATAAAAAATCAATTACTTTACTTCGTGTGATCCCCACCATGACATTTATACATTTTCTTACTGGCAAATCTTCTGGCATTCTATCTGACATATCTTCTGGCATTCTATCTGGCATATCTTCTGGCATATGTTCTGGCATATCTTCTGGCATATTTTCTGGCATTCTATCTGGCAAATCTTCTGGCATTCTATCTGGTATATCTTCTGGCATTCTATCTGACATATCTTCTGGCATTCTATCTGGCATATCTTCTGGGATTCTATCTGACATATCTTCTGGCATTCTATCTGACATTCCATCTGGCATATCTTCTGGCATTCTATCTGGCCGTTGAGGTCCGGCAGTGCCCACTGGGATCTGGAGCTCATGGTTGAGGTCCGGCAGTGCCCACTGGGATCTGGAGCTCGCGGTGGAGGTCCGGCTGTGCCCACTGGGATCTGGACTGCGAGGAGGAGGCGGCGGGTGAGGAGGCGGAGGAGGCAGAGGAGGCGGAGGGGGAGGAGGAGGAGAAGAGCTCTGTTAAAATCTAGCAACCCTCACCTGGCAGGTGGGGAACTATGAATGGAGAACTTGCAAGTGCCAGTTCTGATTTCCAAAGAGTGAGAGATTCCCAGGGGCCATGATTATCATGATTGAATAGCTCGATCTGAGGGAACTATGACACGGAAACCATTGGTTTTAGCAGCAAAGACTGGGCTGTGCTGCAAATGACCTTTCTATTCGAATGCAGTGAATGATGAATCACGTGTGATGTGTGTGTTTGACATCACTTATATAGCATATAGCAACGAGACGACAAAACAAAGGAGAAAAGGAACGCAGCATTTGGCTCCTTTCTTACGGAAACCGACGATACAACCCATGCGATATTATTGCAGTTTTTACTGCATTCCCAGAATTTATCACGAGAACAACTTCCGAAATAGGAAACGGAAATCATAAGAGACTTAAAATTTGAACCACATTCGCTACCACAAACCAGGAACAAAAACAGTGGTTATTTGATTTAATGATATCAACAGAAATTAAAATTAATAAATAAAAACACATCTTTGAGTATGTTTGAGTGAGATTATATATATATATGCAACAGCGCCCAACAATAACATACAAAAACAAAAGACTTTGGTGAGCACTTTACCATTGGTATGGGTTCGCCCAGAACCGGCATCTCTTCATTTTCCCCTTGACATTCACCATTTATGGCAACAGAATACGAAAAAAAACAATGTACCAGTTTCCTTTGTATCAAACTATACCCATCCAAGGTTTCATCAGATCTGTGTTGTTTTCACTTTTTCTTACTGGTGCTTAGTAGGGAATTTTCGGGAATGATCCACTGGCTAACAATCAATTTCATAATCCCAACAACCCCCAGCAACCCATCCATTCCCTAAGTTTTTGCTCGGAAAACCCCTGGATTTCCGCGTGCCTGACGCATCACAATGGCCGCCTGCATCTCGCTGTGATGGCCGCTTTCCAGGATAAAACCTGACGACCCCGTGTGATGTGGAAAAAAAACATGGAAATCTGCGAACGAAATGACGGTTGAAATCCATGGTCAGGGAAAAGTAAATCAGATTAATTGTTAGTAAATCAAATTTACTGTAAAATCTATGGTTACCCTGGTTTGTAAATTTGATCCTCCAAGAAAAGTATCGAACAGTTAAACACTTCAGATGCGTCACCTGGTATGCCGAGGAATTTCCACAAGAGTCACCGAGGAAAAGATCAGGACGCAAATGATAATAAAAGTTGGGATGATGTTCACAATAACGGCAAGGATGATATTTTAATTATATATATTATATGTAGTATATAATTATAGTGTGTGTGTATATATATATGTAAATAACACAAATGTTTATAAATCATTTATGAATGTTCCTGACTCGATGTATCTCTGCAGTGGGGTTCTAAACCGACAGGGCGACCGAACAGGATTACACAATCGTTGCTACCCTCAAATGATGGCTGATAAATGATACATGTCACTACACTCCACTACACTACACTACATTACACTACACTATACACTCCACACACTACAGTACATTACACTACACTACACTCCACAACACTACAACTACAACTACAGAACTACACAACTACACTCCACTACACTCCACTACACACCGCTACACTAAATTACACTACACTACACTCCACAACACTACAACTACAACTACAGAACTACACAACTACACTCCACTACACTCCACTACACACCGCTACACTAAATTACACTACACTACATTACACTACACTAGAAAGATCGATAGATAGATAGATAGATACATAGAAAATAGATAGGTAGGTAGGTAGATAGTCAGAGAAAGAGAGAGAAAGAGTGAGAGAGATCAAGCACCTTTCTGTCCATCAGTGGCTTCGCTCTGCCATCCCGGATTCACAACAACCAAGCTCTCCTATAGGTTTCCTATTTTTGAAACTTCCGCCACCGCCTTGTGCGGTACTACTGGTAAATGATACATGTTACATTATAGATGATGGTGATGGTGAAAACCATTGAAATCAACATCACCATATTTTAATGTTATATGATGTTATATGTGTTCATGTCTTGATGAATCCATCCAGCCTAATACCGAATACTCACCATGGAAAACTGGTTTAGTATTGGGCCTCTTCATTCTGGCAAGCCAGGGGGGGCAATGTGAATGGGGTTGTTTTACTCCAATTGATTATGGATGGAATTTTGTTCCATCATTATAACTCCATGTTTGGTTGATTGGACCCCTATCCCGTTCTTAACCCACCGGTAAAATGAAACGACAGAAGGATTTGAACACTATTCACTTTAGACAAGAAATAACAACCAAAGTTTACAATGAAAACTTAAGATTCTACCCACCAACAATAGGGATTTCATCATTAAACATATATCACAGGGAGGTAATGGGATATGAATGGGAGTAATGGGGAATACTAAAAGCTAAGAATTACAGTATATAGTAGGTGGCTCCCAGCAAAATGGGAATATTAACCAAGGTTCACCCACTAATTATGTAATATCAACTTACCATATGGCACCGTCATCCAAACACCGAATGGCCAACTGACCGGTTGCTCATGAATCTACGCCATAAACATCGATAACTTGTTTGTTGGTTTTATATCGGTATACCATCCTATTTTCAGCCAAAACCAAATAGGTATCTTATCCCTACGTCAACGGTACTAAGCTCATGGCTTCACACATGCTACCAGGAGAATCCCTCAAGTTTGGAGCCATATGCTAAGTGGACTTTTCCAATGTCCATTTATTTGGTGCACCATATGTCTCCCAGTTGTCAGGATTCATTTGAGGGAGAGGAAAGGTTGAACAATACATTTCCCACCACAAAAACAAAAAACATCATTACTTTCTTCGAGTGATCCCCACCTTGAAACACTATTCTGACATAGTCTCTGACATGCCATCTGGAAGTGCATATGGCATAATTATATATACAGTATTCATTCTGACCTTCTATCTGACACTCTTTCTGGCCTGTATTCTGACATATCTGGCATCTATTCTGACATACTTTCTGGCATAAAATATTCTGACATTCTTTCTGGCATTCTATCTGGTATATCTTCGGAAATTCTTTGTGGTAGACACGTCGCAGTGACACGATACTGTAGAGGCCGGCAATTTTGCCGAAAGTTCTCGATCCAGCCGCTGGGCATAGATATGCGTGACGGTGAAGCATCTGTCAAAAGAAAACTATTAGCATTACATTACTTCCTCAAAAAAATATTGAGATTATTGAGCAGAATTCCTGCAACAGCTCAGCACAGGAGCTGTGGCAGCAGCCAAACACTTTAAACTAAGATCAGCGTGTTCCCCATGATCATCATACTTGGGGGTGCATCAAGGCATTGTAATTGCTAAATATCGATAGTAACTATAGTATCACCCGGTTATATGGGTTACATTATATATATATAACTACAATATATAATCTGTATATATATATAATATGTATATATATATATATATACTGTGTATATATATATATATAAACATACGTGTATATATATACAGGCTCTAGAAACCGCTTGCAATTCCTAGGATGTCCATCCAAGTACCCAAGCCCATCTGCTGGCTTATCATTATTTCCCAATGGCCGTATATTATCATATGATCACCTTTCATCATCATTATAATAATACGCAGTACTCATCATCATCATCATCATCATCACTAACATCATCACCATCAAACATCTTCATAAATACATGTACATACATGTACCATGTTTGTCCTTGATGATCATCAAGTTCTACAAACAATTTGCTGTTATCAATGGATTGGTTTAAGGGAAAATCTTAACCAGGAAACCCATGGGTTTTTACCATCAAATTGATCGGGGTTTCCGGTTAAAATTTTCCCATCATCCATGACCATGACCAACCTGCCCCCACCTAAGAGTTCACCACCGCTACACAGCTCCATCACCAAGAAAACGCTCTCTGCGTCCTCCGGAAACCCGGAGGGGGTACAGGACTAACAGGGACTGCTATGGTATAGATGGCATGTTTAGACATTATATGATTGACCTAGAAAAACAGGTTGGTGATATTTGGTGATTTTCCAATTATATGTCAAACTACCAGAAGGTACTTAAGGAATGCGATTCCGTCCGTCTCAGTTGGTAGATGTTTCTGTTTCAAGGGAAATGGATGAGATACCAGAAGGTGGCGACCCACCAGTTATAAGTTGGTTTATGTTGGTTTATAACCCCCACTTATAAGTTGGTTTAAAACCCGCACTGAATATGGATATATCTACTACAAACCCAAGTGACATTGGAGTTCTTTGCACTAATTCAGCTATCGGGCACCACCTTGAAAGCATGTTGAACTGACTCACCAAGTTAACCATTCCTGGACCTAATCAAATCAGTGAACTTCGGAGTTGACGATTTTGTTGGGGCGCAAGCAATGGATGATGCAAACGCTGAAGTTGAGGAAATCTATCACTATCTATCTGGAAATGGAAAATCTGGACACACAGAAGGCCTAAACAACGTCAAGGATTATGCGCAAAAAAAATCGAAAACAATCAAAATCACGCAACTTAGCAAAGTCCTAAATTTGATGTTCCAGAGTTCCGTGAGTAGGAACGAAACGCTGAAATCAATAAAAACTCCTTAAAAAAAAACAAATCACTTTTTTTTGAGTTTTTTTTTCAGGTGCAAGTTGTTTTGATTACATATATATATTTATATAGTTATGTAATGATAATGATTCGGAGATGCTGGGATATCATTCGGAGATCATGGGATTTCACCAAACAAAACTGGAGTGCTATTCCAACGTGAATTGTGTGGCTTTTTTTGTACGCAAATATTAGCCATTCTATGGGTACATCTTATGGAACCAATATATCTTATGGATTCTTATGGAATCAATACATGTTGTTTGGGTTTGATACCTCAATTTTTGGGGCGATGCTGGCACATGCACATGCCACTGTCCGTTTATGGCCCGTCCTAGGGTTGAACATCTGATCCAATGTTGCATTTAAACTTCAAAACGGCTAAATCCTGAAGCGTCACAACTTGTCTCTGGCCTTTTTCAGCAGTATATTCTGAAAAATTCATGGAACCAATTAACCAATCATATTCATCATATTCTCAAGTTTGATGCTTAAGCGGTCCCCTTACCATTTTCGTCCCCATCATTCAGTCTGTCTCGTCACCCGACGGCTTGGTGGGTGAATCCAAAGCCTCAAAGGTCTCATGGAGCATGACAATGTTTGGATGATCCAACAACCTGCTCCAACGCGGCGATTCGCGCAAGGTGCGTTATATAAAGGTGTCCAGCAGTTCGGTTCCAAGAGTTGCTGGGTAGCGAAAAATGGCCTATGGTTTATGGTAGATATGTCAAGATATATCTATATAGTTAATGGGAGTTGTAACCTATAGCTTAATTTTGGGATTGAAGCATGCTCGAAGCAACAAAAACTATGGTTGACCATGATGGGATATTATCCCTATCACCGGATGTTGAAGAACCAGGTCCCCGGTGAAGTCCAACAAAAATTGCAGTGGAAACTCCAGTATTACAGTTTTGGTGACAAGCCCATGATGTTGTTCATGTTTTTTTTGTACATGTTTCATTGCGGAAAATCCCAGCGTTCTTGGTGCTTCAGCTCACGATATTTTTTAGGCCAGTTACATCTGGGTTCTATATGGCTTATATATATATATATATATACAAAGTCATCCTGGAGTATATAGATAGAACATGATAGAACATGATGAATATGGACATGTCATTGACATGTCTATCTAAATCATTCGCAAAATGACAGAATATGTTTGAACATCATTGAAAATCCCATATTCTATCTGCTTAAAAGGTTATTGTTGTTTATATATATATATGCCCCCAACGCACTGACCATCATGGCTTTGTAATTTCCCAGGTTTAATTTGGCAACCTTAGATATTAGATACCCTGCAAGGTGGTGCTCCAGTTCCTTAGCTAAGTTGGTTTATATAAACTCCAATTTCAATATGGTTTATGGTAGATATCTGATATATGGTAGATATATCGAACTACTTCCTATGGTTTACAAACCAACTTATAACTGGGGAGGCACCACCTTGTGCAAACAAACAAATTGTCAGCTGGTTAGTACAATTGGCCATTGATAGCAAAATAATAAAGTATAAATATATATATATACATACTAAAGTATCTAACCAAGGTTGACCCATGTCTGGTGGAGAGGCTCTATTGGCCCTGCCATGGACCGTGATGACTACATGAAAGTAGCTAGGGAAAACTGTAGAAAAAATCTTCCCTCAGGTCAACAAACATGGCAATGAGAAATCCAATGAACCTTAAATTGATGAATCACAGAAAAGGCTGGAGCTTTCATACTGGCTTATCACACAGCAGCTCTGAAACAACCAGTGGCTTTTGACCACGGTGACCACGGTGACCGGTGACCAACCATTCCATGATTTAAATGCCTCATGTGCCTCATGAAAACATGAGGCAACTTTGATTCAGGAAACACCACATGTTCATTGCACAAAGACATATCAGTTGTTGTGGCTGATATATCCCGATATCTCAGTAAAGATACAAATGAATTTCACATGTTCAATGATTTTGAAAGATTCTTCCTCACTAGAGTGACCATTTCCACACGTTTTGGTTGTATATCAATTGATAGTCCATTGACAATGGTCCATTGATATCCCATCATATCCCGTTATATACCCCGAGTTACATTATTCAATAATTCGCTGAATCCAGTTGAGCAACGTCCCCCCCAACCATGGTTTATTCGAAGTTATATGGGCTGATATAATGTTATACCTTTATATATATATATATGTATATATATATATCCATTGATGTTTACTATCCATTTACTATCCAATATTTGTTATATATATATATATATATACATTATATGTATATATAATATATATATGGGTAAATTATAATAATTCACGAACCTGAATTAAGGCCATTTGGGGATGATTTCCCTTACTAACCATGATTCCAGTGAGGTCGAAGTGAGTTCGTTATAATTTACCCAGATATATATATATACACCTTATATATATATACCTCATTTATATATATATATACTATCCATTACTATCCAATACTGTATGTTGGGGCACGCTTGGAAATTCCCCACCAGCATCGCGCCTCATGATCTTGATCTCCTCTCTGAGGCGCTGGGCATCGCGCCTGCCGACAGTGGTAGAGCAAACGGAATGGTACCCTATGGTACCCTATGGGCCATGGCTTCCATAGCTATGTCAAATAACCAGATGGTAATGACTTACCCTCTGATAAATTAACATAGACCCTGGCAGATAGGGGTTGGAAGACTAGTTTCCATTAAAACATGGTGATTTTTATGGTCTATGTTTATTTACCAGAGGGTATATGTATTATTGGAGGGGATTATATACTAGCTTCATAGAATTTCATAGATAATGATTAACCTCTGGTTGGTAAACTAGCATAACTATGGAAAGATCCACCATGCTATTAATGGGAAAAATCACTATTTCTATGGCCACGTTCAATAGCTATGTAAACGTTTACCAGAGGGTCAGTTTGAGGTGGATAAATCAATGGTTGGTGGTTAATAAAAAAAACATTTTGAAACATGATGGAGTTCGTCAATGGGAAGGATGACATCCCATATATGAGATGGAACATAATCCAAATGTTTGAAACCACCAACCAGAATAACCATTGATATCAATTTATGTTTGTTGTTTCATGCTTTATGAATGATCAGTTTGAAGCTATAGTCAATGTTGATCCAATATGCTCCGAATATTAGCGGTCGTCTACTTTGGAACATCCAACAAGCCCATCATCCCAATACCCCAACAATGGCCTAATGTAGCCCAATATCCCATACATGAAGCATCCACGTGTGGAGTTGTCATATTTTTCCGAAGAAAATCATGGGACATCCTCAATTGTTTGTTGGTTCAATCCTTTCTTTTTTGGTTCCAATTCCAGTTCCGTAGTTGAATTCAGAGTTATATCAATCAATTGTTTCTGTAAAATAAACTTTATTGGTTGCTTCTTAGATCACAAAAAATCCTTCATGTTTGCTCGTTAAATTTAACGCAGCAAATTGCCCATGTGTCCCGTTGAGGCCATTGTTGTGGATGCATGTTGTAAATACAACAAGTTGAGACATGCGCTACACAATGATTTACAATGTTACCCTCTGGTAAACTAACATAACTATGGAAAATCACATTTTTTAATGGTAAAACTCACTATAAATAGCCATTTTCAATAGCTATGTTAAATTACCAGAGGGTACAATGTTAGTTTAACCATGTTTAAGTTTATCCAGCCATGTGTTCAGCGGGCTTACCCTAGTTTTATCCAGCATTGTTCTAAATAAGTTCCATATTATTGGGTGTACATCCCAAGAATATTCCACAATATTGTATATTCCTATTATTGTTGGTTTTATCTCCCCATTGTTGCTGGTAATTCCTATTGTTTAATCATATCAGCTTTGTGGTATTGTTTATTCTATATGATATTATTATATAACCCCATGATTGATCATTATTGTTGGTTTTGTGGCCCCGTAAAGGAACACATTGTTAGTTATTATATATATATATTGTATTCTTGAACTTATATCCCATTCATATCGTCATTGGTGTCAGTGTTTCTATATAATAATATAGCAACCCCCAAGAAGGTTTTTCACAGTGTTTCCAGGAGGGTATACTGGTATATATGTTCCACATATGTTCCAGCTTCCCAACTTTTCAACAACTTTTATTACCGGTGCTTAGCAGGGAATTTTCGGGAATGATCCATAATCACTACCCTCTGGTAATTTGTTACATAGCTATTGAAAATTGCCATAGAAATAGTGGATTTACCCATTAAAAATAGTGATTTTCCATAGCTATGTTAGTTTACCAGAGGGTATCAATAATCATCCCAGCAACCCCCAGCAACCCAGCCATTCCCTGCTAAGCATACCCCATGGCAACAGTGGTCTGTGCCTGCGCATCTGCACCAACTGTTCGGGCGCCGTTGAAGGCGGCGCCCGTTTCAGGTCCAGCTTGGGAACGGCCTACGCCAACGGCGGGGCAGGAAATCCACAGGAAACCATTGGTTTTACAAGGTGGCGATCTGCTCTACATTACTGTTGTCTAAGCTTAAGACAAAGAGGAACTTCAGGGCGAGGAGGATTGCTAGGGCTCATTTGAGACAAATCATGAAGAAAAACGTTGCCGTCAATGCTAAAACGCCCCTAATTGGTAGCAAACATGTGTGAATCTCCTGTTAGGCAATGGTTTCTTGGGCGTGTTTAGGGGGAAGGGATTCTATTTACCACTGAAATAAGGTCCCGCTGACAGGCTGGAACTCCCAACACTCCAGTTTCAAATCCTCCAAGGTGTGGAGTCATCTGTAGACCTTGAGGACAAGTCAACTTGACAACTCATTAAAAAAAACACTTATAAATTATAAACATCTACATCCCCCTACCATCCCCCCTACCATTCCCCCACCATCCCCCATCCACTTTACCCCCCTGTCTCCGTCCCCCGGCGGCCCAAGCCTTGACCGCCACCATCTCCTTGCTCTTGCGACTCTGTGCCTTGTAGACGAAGCCGAAGCCGCCGGCACCGATGCGACCGCCCTGGGTGGAGCTGCTTCGGGGAACGGATGATGGACGGGACGGTAGTCGATATCAGTAACCCCCATGAAGGTTTTCCCACAGTGTTTCCAGGAGGGTATATTGGTATATGTTCCACATATGTTCCAGCTTCCCAACTTTTCAACAACTTTTCTTACGGGTGCTAAACGTAGGGAATTTTCGGGAATGATCCAGAATCACTATCAGTAATCATCCCAGCAACCCCCAGCAACCCATCCATTCCCTACGTTTAGCACCAGTAAGATGATGATCAAGTCAATGTTGTGTTAATTAGCAACTGGTAATCATATGTATGAAAATGTTTGGTGATCTTTGGTGGTGATCATGGTGGTGGTGACTGGTGATCACAATAGTAGTAATTAGTAAAACATGAGAAAAAATGTTCATGCTAATGATACTAGTATATATATATATTTACAGTAGGTATATTGTGATTTAATAAAAAAATACTATATCTATTTATCTAACCTAATTTAATCTAATCTAATCTAATCTAATCTAGGTAGAATGATCTAACCCAGTCCTGTACAACATGGATTGAATATACTACTTGGTACAATAATCTGGGTAAATTACAATAATTCACTAACCTGAAATAAGGCTATCTTGGGAATGTTTCCCCTTACTAACCATGATTATAGTGAGGTCGCAGTGAGATCGTTATAATTTACCCTCTGGTAAACGTTTACATAACTATGGAAAATCACCATGCTATTAATGGGAAAACTCACTATAAATAGCCATTGTCAATAGCTATGTTAAATTACAAGAGGGTACCCAGAATGATGATAGTCATGATCATCCCATTGATCATCCCAGTTCCCACACCAGATTCACGGAGCGTTTCATATCTTTCCAACAAAAAACACTGGGAACCTCGGACCGTTGTGAACATCTCCGAAATTTGGAACTCAAAAAAAAACATAAAACAAATGTGATGTGGGTTTCCTTCACGTAGTTCCAAGTTTTTTTGTTGGACCGTTTTTTGGAAACCCCAGTTTTACCAAGCTCCAGTGATCATCATTGTCTCCAAAAACAAATCCAATGACTTGGAGTTGCCATGTCGTGCCTGGCGGGCATAGCTATCCCAGACCTCAGGCTGGCATGATGTCATACTTTGTTGATGGGAAACAAACTGCTGACAAAAAAAAAGTTTTAGAATATTCATCCCCCCACAATGAATGTGGTATGTTGATGCATTTTGGCGTGTTTTCATGCAATAATTGTAGGTTTTGGCCAATCACCATATATCAACTTCAAGCCTCGAGGTTGGCCAATTTGATCCATCTCAGTATGTACTAAAGATATAAGTTGCTATGAAATATTCCCAATTATGGATTTTAAAAAAAACATGAGAATCAGTGGGATGCTTAAGATAGACCAACATCTATGGTACCCTTCTTGAAATTTGGCTTCCTCACAGGCCGTCGCATGGACTTGACTCCTGACCTCCTGACCTGAAAGTTTCAACCATTTCAGGTGTAGGCAAAGAAAACATCACCCTAGGCAAGCGTTTGGACATAAGACTTGAAGATACGGTTTCCAAACTGATCCAAACTGAAAAAATGAATCTAAGCTGCAAAAATTCAAAGCAACCCTAGAGACAGAGACAAACATCTTTTAGCAATGTTAAACATTAATTTCCGTAGGATCTCACTTTTTACCCTGGTAAACTAACATAACTATGGAAAATCACCATGCTATTAATGGGTAAATCCACTATTTCTATGGCCATTTTCAATAGTTTTTTGTTAGCTTACCAGAGGGTAAATCCCATTTTTTTGCCATCATTTTTAACCACCATTTTTAACCACCATTTTTAACCACCATTTTTGACCACCATTAAACCACCATTAAACCATGTGTCTGTTCAAACGGATTGCCAACAAAACTGTAGCTGAACGCCGGCCCGCGAGACGGCCATCCCCCAAGAGCCGAGCATTCTGGAGCGAGCCGCACTGGGTCACAGACCAGCGTGCCTGCGGCGGGTAAAAATGTGGGTTTTGTAAGAAAAGATACGGAGATAAACATGGAAAACAGTGAAGGACAGCTGTAAAGAACTTGATTTACCCTCCAGTAATCATACAAAAAAATGGAACATCACCATGCTAGTAAGTTCGGGAAATCAACGAACTATGGCACGGCCATGGCTTCCATAGCTGGCAGTCAGCCGCCAGTCTTAGCTATCCAGCGATGGGGGTCCAGAACAAGATAGAATACCATGTCCATCCAACTTGTTCAATGCACCATCATCCAATTCACTTAAGGGGGAAAGCTGCATCTAAGTCGTCCGTTTTGAAGGGTTAAATGGTTAAGCATGATTAAGTCAACAATACCCTATTCCAGGCATATGGACATGCAACTACAAGTATGGGTGAAAACATGTGAAAACTTAGGATCCTTTAAGCCTTTGAGAACACAACACTTAAGCATGTTTACAGTCATGATGTATCATGCCTCCCATTTTGGACTGACCTGCGTGCCCGTATACCACATGTATCCAAGGTATTCCAACGTAAACCCAACGACAGGCGGTGACAAAGGTCAGAGAAAATCTACGGTACAACTTGCAACATGCCAAGCATCATACGGAAGACCGGCCAAAGTCCGTGCTACACAATGAAATATCATCATAGAGAACATTTTGGCCATGTGTTAAAATTGGGGTACCAAACAAAATGGATGTTTCATACAAAACACATGCCCCTGTGGGTTTGTCTGAAAATAGGGTACCCAAATCCACTGAATTGTACTATTTCTCCAACATTGCCATACGGGGTTGTGTACCCAATTTCAGCCGAGAATAGTCCTTTCCTAGGTTCGGGCTCAACGGGCCCGACGGGCCCAACGGGCTCCAACGGGCCCCAACGGGCCTGCTTCACGGGCGACGGGCCCAACGGGCCCAACGGGCTCGACGGGCTCGACGGGCTCGAGAGGCCGTGGCGCTGAATGAACCCATCATCCCTTCTGGTGCTGGCGTTACACTACATTCAATTGGGAAGATCAACAACGGTACTGGGAATATAGATTCCCACCCCCGGCTAACTTAATATTCAATGGGGAAAATCAACAAAAGGTATTAGGAATTTAGAATCACATCTCTGTTCAACTTTACATTCAAGCAGGCAAATCACCAAGGGTAATTATTTGGCATATAAGTTCCCCGCCTGTGAATTTTACATTCAATTGGGAAGATCACCGATAGGTATTTGGAATAAAAGCTCCCTTAGAAACATAATTGCCCACCCTGCTTGAACCTTTAGATTCAAGTGGGAAGATCACCACAGGTATTAGGAATATTTTAAAAAAATCCCACTCTCGTTTGCTTTTGCTTTCGACTGGAAAGATCAACAAGGGATGATGATGATGATGATGATGATGACGACGACGACGCTTCGTTGCCCATCGTCGTTGCCCTGCCAGGCTAAACCCAGGCATTAGCCGTATTTCAACATATGTATATATACATACATGTATGCATCTTGTATCTTTCTAATACGTATACACACATAAACATTTATTTATTGAGTGATTGTTCTTTATGCTTATCTTATACCTAATTACATCTGGTTGTATTAGGAATTTAGAATCGCATCTCTGTTCAACTTTACATTCAAGCAGGCAAATCACCAAGGGTAATTATTTGGCATATAAGTTCCCCGCCTGTGAATTTTACATTCAATTGGGAAGATCACCGATAGGTATTTGGAATAAAAGCTCCCTTAGAAACATAATTGCCCACCCTGCTTGAACTTTTAGATTCAAGTGGGAAGATCACCACAGGCATTAGGAATATAAAAAATCCCACTCTCGTTTGCTTTTGCTTTCGACTGGAAAGATCAACACGGGATGATGATGATGATGATGATGACGACGACGCTTCGTTGCCCATCGTCGTCGCCTTGCCAGGCTAAACCCAGGCATTAGCCGTATTTCAACATATGTATATATACATACATGTATGCATCTTGTATCTTTCTAATGCGTATACACACATAAACATTTATTTATTGAGTGATTGTTCTTTATATATATCTTATACCTAATTACGCTGCACGGCTCTACCTTTTCAAACAAAAAATAGAGACAATCATCCCCGGCAAAAAGGCCCTAACAGCGTTGAGGAAAACATCTTTGAACAAAAACTCCAGGACCTCAAGCCAGGACCTCAATGAGAATTTCACACAGTCGTCAAAGAAGGACCTGATAGAGGGGATCTGACAAGATCTTTGTACAAGAACCTCTTGAAGGCTTCCCTTGCAAACTTTCATACAAGCACCTTCTAGAATCTTCGCGCAAATATCTTTTAGAGGATTCCAGCAGGATGTACGCAAGATCTCCTCACAAACACCTCTACAACAAAGGATTTCACTAGGATATCCACAAGATCTCCTCGCAAGGACTTCTACAAAATCAGGAATCTGCGAGGATCTCGACAGGATCCCTACAAGATCCCCTTCCAAGAACCTCATACAGCAGGACTGCCCGACTGCCCCAAATTGTCGTCGGGCCCAACGGGCCCAACCCAGCACGAACGACCATGGCCTTTCAGACATGCGTCCAAATATAAATATTATACATATAATATTCTTATTGTTTCTGCCATGGAGAACACATTGATGGTCATACTATATCATCTAGCATGTGGTTAGGAATTATCTTCCTGGCTCCTTAGCTCCCCATTTAGTGTATGGATACTGTAGCTCCTTAGCTCCCTCCTAACCGCCGGATTTTTGCGGCTTTTGCACTGAATCCCAGCGTGAGCATGGGGATGCGGACGGTCAGTTGACGTACCGTCAGCACCACTGTGGCCAAAAAAATCACATAATTAAAAAAACAACTAATTTGGGGAGGCGAAGGTATGAGGGGCCCTTCTAATTGCTCTGGCCCTTTGCACAAAGGGTACATTTAATTCAACGGGATGAATTGGAGTGGTTCCAGCATTCCAGTCAAAGTTTCGATCAAGGGATCTATTCATTCCGGAATCGGTATTGAAGAATTTGTGCAAGTGTTGAATAACAGCATCATTATTTGCCAATCTGGGACGAACCTCCAAGCCCTTCATGGTCGCTGAAGAACCGATGCGGTTAATGGAAACAGCTTTCTTCTTGAGGGCCGAAGGAAAAACTTTTTGGTCTGTGAATTTGAGCAACCATGTGATGGCTTTACACCAAGTTTGAGTTTGGGCTCCCAAGGTGGTGGATTGAACATCAACTCGTTTCTCAATATCATCAAGGACATAGTTTGGAGCAGTAAATTTATCACGTTGCGCTTTTGTAAAAATATTCCTTGGGGTACGTGAATTGGTCGTGATGGTCATGACGCCGGATAGTCATGTGTATCTATCTATCTATATATATATATACATTATATAATATCACGTAATTCTTGAACATTTAATTCACATATTATGTGTATATATGTGGACGTATAATTATACTATATATATATATCATAATATCATGAATTAGTCTTCCACTACAGGTGTGTTTGAAGAATGGGACATTCCATCATCCATGGCCAGCATTTTACAAGGAATACTGATGATTGGCCAGTGGATGAGACGGAGACACCCCCAACAGAGAAACCCATATGGTTTCAACCATGGTTGTATTATACTACCGGGTGGCACCACCCAGTTTTAAGTTGGCTTATAATCCCCATTCATGTAGACATAACCCCCATAAACTCAGGTGAAAATGGAGCTATTTGCACCAACTTAGCTGCATATGTTGTTCCCCTAAAGGTCCCTGAGCTTGACCCGTTTCCATCCACTCCCGCCTGCATTGGCCGTCAATGGCCGCCGGCCACAAACTTTCGGGTCGTGGCATGGCTGGTGGTGGAAGCATCTGACTTTCTGGTACTGGAACATGTTGGATAGTATCTTTACCCTCTGATAAACTAACATAACTATGGAAAGATCCACCATGTTTAATGGGAAAACTCATTATTTCTATGGCCATTTTCAATAGCAAACTGTAAAATTTGCGGAGGGTATGTTTTTTGGGGTCTCCCCCACAAAAACTCACAGAATCGAGTTCCTTATCATGGTCGATTGATCAGAATCCTTTGATTCGCGGACGCAAAGACATGGTTGAAGAAAAGTCAGTATGGGTTTTGCTCAAGGAAACTGGAGACTTTGTTTATATTGGGATGGCAAAAAGTATGATGTGAATGAACTTGGCTGACAGGTGGCTGCTCTTTGGCACTCCTTGCTTTCTGTGGATGATGAATGTGGTGATCTTCCATGTGTCATAGTATCAATTTAGAGGTGTGAAGTGACTCAACTATGCAAAATCTGCACAATCTTGAGAACATGATGTATTTCATATCGGTTGGCTTGGACCGAAGTGAGCCTTTCACCATGGTGTGTTCTCGTTGCATCTGGCCATAGTTCTTATTCCGAACTACTTCAGCGCGCGTCCTTCATGACGCGAAAAAGCTGCGTGGGGTGCGATGCCGGAGATTGAGCAGCCAGCGAGTTCCCTGGATGCTGAATCAACAACCTCAACCAGGACCAATCGTGACTTAAGACCCAGGATCAACAGGATCTGTCCCATGTTTCCCTATGATTTTCCCTATGATTTTCCCATGAAAAAAGCGTCATTTTTGACCGGGACTCAACATTCACACTGATCAAACACAGCAGGGCTGTGCGAAAGTGCGGCATCTTCAATGGTCAGGTGTTTCAGCCATGACGCCCAACACTTCTAGATTCTACAATGGTGACATGGTGTATATATATATATACACTGTATATATATATATATACACATACACAGTAGGACAGCATAATGTATATATATATACACAGCATATCAAATATATGTATAATTATGTATATATATAATATACAATATATAATATCTTTACCATGTCTCAGCTATCTTCTAGCCATCTTTCAAAATACACAGCCTCCCTCTAAGCTGCCGTGGAGCCCAACACATCCTATCCTCGGTCCCTGACACGCTGAGGGTGAACTTCCAAGGCATGCTGAAGATGTGATGCATCCAATCTAAGCAGCTCGCCCTGCAGATCTCCATGACGGCTGAAACAGATGGGGGGGGCAGAATGACATCACGGCTGTATCAGTGATGTAGCAACTGGTGTTTTTTGTAAGGAATGACCACAACTAGACTTGCAACATGTACTTATACTGATACTGCTTTTTGCAATGAATGATAAACCAGGAAGTTGATTCTGAAGAAATGCAGGACATCTATGGGATTTTGCCATGCAATTTTGATGGGCCAGCCACCTCATGACTAGCGTCTGGCGTCACAACATCGAAATGTGGCTGGTTAAGAAAGGGATTCCTCTAATGGGTAGTGATCATCACCAATATATGGGTTAATTAGTATAATCCTCGAACTAATCATCAACCAATCATATACCAATCATCATTTATTAGTTATATCCATTTTTATCACAATATTTTGATGGTTAAGATTATTTAATATACATAGTAAATGACGAACTAATCATGAACCAACAGGGCTGTCTTAGGGCTGATGATCCAAGGTTGAAACCATGGAACTTTGCATTGTTTCTTCATCCTAGGTGGTGCCCACAGTGAAATGTTGGTTGGTTGGTTTATAACAACCAGTATGTATGTATGTATATATATATATCGTGATACATCATGATATGTCTACATAATTACATATGTATGATATATATATATATACGCCTCCTAAATATAGAACTATCATGATATATCTACTATAAACCCCCAAGTGAGATCGGAGTTACAAACCAACTTGGCTCACCCTGCTCTCCTCCCCCGGTCTTGATTCACCTCTCTCCATCATCTGTGACGTCGCAGACTGAGGAGATGATGTCCTAACAGGGCACACGGCTGGGCTGGAACTTGGATGTGCGGGCCCCACTTAGTAAATAGGTGAAATATCCCCAGTTACCCTCTGGTAAACTAACATAGCTATTGAACATGGCCATTTATAGTTGATCTACCCATAAAACATGGTGAATTTCAATAGTTATGTTAGTTTACCAGAGGGTATATATGAAATATCCCCACTTTTATATGGGATTAAATATGGCTTATATATGGATTATACAGTACATCCAAGTATGAATCTTTTGTCTATTTTTGGGATAACAAAATTGACCCCGACAGATCTCAGTTCAAGATCAACTATCTGTGGTCATCGATGACATGCTTGGTATGGTTTCAGCACAGCAGGAAAACAGCAGTCACTGTTTCCCCTTAGAGGTCATAGAAGTGGGCTTATAATATGCCATATAAGTAAGTGGCCATTTATGATTATATATGGCTTATATATGGTCATTACACCAGTAATACTTGGGGGTGCAGTGCTTACAAGGGGCATGAAGGGGCATGAAGGAGCCATAGTTGCAAGGCTTATATCCCAACTTATGGTGTTCTACTACCATCGGTTCCCCAGTCGTAGTGGATTTCCCATGGAGAAAATACGACGCGTATAGAACATTCAGGACTAGTTTCGAAATCCCAACAAATCCCTATTCTTGATGGTTCAATACTATGTATTATACTATACATCACTATTATTTATATATATACATATCTATACATGTATATATATATATATGTATATATATATATACATATGTATATATATATATGTATATATATATATATGTATGTATAGATATATGTATATATGTTACATTCCCATGATATTCCCATTAACCCTTTGTTGGATTCTTTCCCCTCAAAACTCTCCTCGTACCAAGACTGCGCTCCCAGGCGCAGCTTGTCGATGTTCATCACCTCGCCGCGCGCAGCAATTCTGGGATGTTTCAAGCTGTTTGCTATGGAGTTACCCTCTGGTAAACTAACATAACTATGGAAAGATCCACCATTTTCAATGGGAAAATCCACTATAAATGGTCATTTTCAATAGCTATGTTAAATTACTAGAGGGTACAAGGTGGTGCGCCCCCCAGTTGTAAATTGGTTATAAGTAGTTATAAGCCCATGAACTAGTTCGATATATCACCAACAAAAACCACAGTGAAATTGGAGTTATTTGCACCAACTTAGCTATCGAACGGGGGCACCACTTTGTGGAGGATTTCTAGCATCATTCATCCATTGAGTCCATAGAGGTAGAGACTCAAACCGTGTCCATCTGACAACGTCAGACATTTCCTGAATGGATGATCAGTTCGACGATCAACGGGTAACAACTAGACGACCTGTGTCGCTGTGTCCCTGGGATATACCTCCGAAAAATACGGCAATGCCAGGGATTTCAAGGTCTCACATTTTCAGAGCCATATCTTGCAAGCTACTTCTTGCTGGGCCTATGATATGGCTAAATCTTTGCCTTTGACGGTATCGGACAAATGACTCACTCAATATTTTAAGCGGAAATCTGCGGGAAAAGCATGGAAAAGCATCGTTGTTTACCAAATAAATCATGAAATAAGGGTTTCCTGCAGATATTTCCCCTTCACTCAATTCTGGGAAGAAGCCAAAAGTGACTCAGATCACCTTATCTACGAACTGGCTCATCTTCATAGCTGCGATGTTCCTGGCACGGGAGTGTCATCGGATGATCTGGGGGTCCAAACCTATTCATGCTATATTTGGAAGGGCTGAACCTACCATTGGTTGGTGGTATACTGTTAACGATGATGGTTAATACTAATGGTTATGATGATGGTTAATTAATTATGGTTAATAATATATCTGGTTGGTGGTTTTTCGCCCTACCCCTCTGAAAAATGATGGAGTTCTTTCTTCCCATATATTATGGACAAATAAAAAATGTTCCAAACCACCAACCAGATATAATTACCATTTTTTTGGTGTTCACTAGAGACTAGTGAGGTTTTTGACCGGCATCACATGTATCTGCTTGAAGAAAATCCAAACTTTCCAATGTGTCTATGGCTCAAAGATCTCAAAGATGGTATGCCCGACCCAGATATTCTAGTTGTTTGGTATTTCTGGGGGCATCATTTTTGAGGCCATTCCCATGTGTCAATAAACATTGGGCCAAACTGACTGGGACGGTCTACGTTAGATGGGAAACCAATTGCTGCGGTTCATACCTAGCCCATCCGCGGACGCATACCACATGCTGTCCATTAACAAAATGTAGGAATCATCCACCATCAACCAATATTATACATAATCCAAAAAACATGAATAAACAAGTGACTAGGATTATTAGAAACAATGTCACTGACACTAATGTATAAATTGAACCTATATAGTCATTATATTTGAATCATGTTATATCTATCATTTATGTCTGGCATTTATTTATCCTATGTCTTATCAGGGTGCTGGACACCATGTCATCATGCCGTCTCGACTCTGTTTCAAACTAAGCTTTGTTGTGCAGTGATTCGGCGACATTGGGTTGCAATGCGTCTGGGCCCACTTTCAACCCCAAACGTAGGATTTGCAACCTTAGTTCCATTTCATGTTTGGCAATCAAGGCTGGCTGTAACATCTCCCATTGATAGATATTGATAGATTAAGATGTATGTATATATATATATATGTATCCATATGTGATTATATATGATATTCCGGGCTATACACTTCCATTGAGTTCGGGAATTTCTCATTAAAAAGAAAAGCTAAGTTTGGACACCGGTCTTCAGGTCTTCTCGTCCAGGCTTCAGGCCTCGTTAGCTCATCATTCTCGTTAAGGATGGTAATGGTCAAGACACACCTGACGTTTTTTGGATCTGGGGAAGTGGCCTTAAAGCCACGTTGAAACATCAGAACACAAGCCATGGATCCATTGCTAATTTCATGGTTTACCCTCTGGTAATGTCAAAATAGCTATTGAAAATGGCCCATTTCTAGTGAGTTGTTCCATTAAAAATTGTGATTTTCTATAGTTATGTTAGTTTACCAGAGGGTACGGTGATGACAGTGAAACGAATCTTCGCCCAGGTTCTCTGACTGGGTTTGCTGGGAACATCAACGACCTCCCAATGGATTTTCCTGTTGACGATTGCCTCAAACATCACCAAACTCCATCGTCAAATCACCTGGCACTTCCCAAGAAACATAGCGTCCGATTTCCAAAGTTGTATGTTTTCCATTGCCAGGTTCGATTGCTGGTGTGTAAATCCTCATGCTTACTTGGCAAAAATCCACCTTTTTGCTGCTTAAATCCCCTTTTTGTTGGATAAACACAATTTTTCAGAAATGTTGGTTGGATATTCACTTGACCCATTCTTGGTTACACCCCCATTTTGGGCGGGCAAAATCACCATCTTCGGGTTTTGAAATGCCACGGGACCTATCTTCGGAGCCATCCTGATTGGGATTGAAGATGGCACCACCTGGCCCAAGCAAGGCACATGGGTATGGACCAGGGGTCAGGGGTACCCTTTGGGGAATGATTTGGGGGGTTAAGTAGCTTTTCAGGAAGTATTTGGACCCATAGGGGATAGTAACTGGATGGTAAATATATTGAGTTCATCAATTCAGATATACAAAATTATATGAACGCTTGTTGAAACATATTCCAGTTAGTCAATGGGAAGGATTATCCCATATATTATGGACAATAAAAGCCATGTTTCAAACCACAAACCAGTTATCAACATGAATTTTCTACCCTGGGTCGGGGCCTGGTATTTTGACCCACAGAAAAAAAGCCCAGATAACCACTGTCCCAGAGCAGTGACTCTCTGTAAGGAAACCCTCTGGTAAACCAACATGGCAAAGGAAAATCCACCAATTCTTGATGACATCCATCTTGAATCTTGTTGATGTCTTCAATGTCCTCTGACTACATCTGCAGAGATTCCTCGAAAACCTGTACCTCTGGAAAATTGTCTTTTCATTGATTTACATTTGCTTTGCTTAAGTCCATCATTTTCCGTTGATGATTTTCTAGTGGCTTCCAGTGGATTTCTCATGGCATCTAAAAGCCCACCCGGAAGGCCTTCTGGGTCCTCCAAAACAAGCTGAAACCTGGGCTTTTTTGTGGGGTCAGTTGTCCACGATTTGTGGCCATGGTTCATGTACCAAAAAATCTACGTCGAATCTAGGGTACTGCAAGATACTGAACTGGTTGGTGGTTTCAACCCCTCTGAAAAATATTAGTCAGTTGGGATCATTATTCCCAATATATGGAAAAATAAAAAAACATGTTCCAAACCACCAACCAGTGAACATAGATATACCTTGATATAGAAGTAACAAATGTTATTGGCTACGAATTGAACCACAATACACCTTCATACCTTCCAGTTGTGTTTAGCACAAGTATGCTGGGTGATTGTCCAGCCATGACCTGTATCATCTCACTAACTTCGTCCAGATTTAGCTGGGGCTATAAGGCTTAACATGTTTAACTGGTTAACCCACTTTGAAATGGGACAACCGGACAACCCACGTTTTTTTTTGGGAGACTTCATCTTCAGGGTTAGGTTCACCACAACCACTTACTTCAAACGCCTGATAGGCATTATATACTTATGTGCAGGGGGCAAAACATGTTATATGGTTCAAGAATGTTTATGATGTTTATGGTCATCCATCCCACAATAGAAAATCCTATGAAATCCTTGCAACTGTTGTATCTTGTTAATGGATCGATGACCATCCCCCAATACTCTATGGGGATGTAATCCATGTTTTGACAATAGCACATCAGGGTATGGCTCCAAACTGCCAAGACCTATTTTCGGATTGGTGAACAGCAAAAAGGAACCATTTTGTTGGTGAACTTGAACCATTTTGAATTTGAATCATACCAAGACCCGTAGATTCTAAATACATCGGTTTCAGGACAAGCATGCAGTACACCCGGGTATAAAAAACCCATGAGTACACCCATCATTTTCCCTTCAACCAAGTGGACCTAAACATGGTGATTTGAAGGTTTCCTACTTTTTCCGGGTACCCCAAATTATCCAAATCCTTAGATAATTTTCGTATTGAAACAACCATGGTGACTTGGGGATCCTCCATGACGAAAGACACATATATATATATATGTATTATAATATATATATATATGTATATATAAACAAACATATATAAATATATATATATATATATATATAATTATATATATATGTATAAACAAACCAAGATGATAATATATTTCATATCAAGTTGGTTATGTTGTATTTATCTCATCATTGGGACCATTGAGGGGATCATCGATAGATCCCAAGTGATGACGGAACCGTCAAGGGACTGGTCGGCTGCCTCGCTCAATTGCTTGGGCAAGAGCTCCAATGTCACCTGGCAACTGCGAAGATCTTTGGAAGATTCCATATTTCTATCTGGGTAAACGATACTTTATGATGGTTAGTGATGGTTGATGATGGTTGATGATGGTTAGTGATGGTTAGTGATGGTTGATGATGGTTGATGATGGTTAGTGATGGTTGATGATGGTTGATGATGGTTAATGATGGTTAATGATGGTTGATGCTGGTTGATGATGGTTAATGATGGTTGATGATGGTCAATGATGGTTAATGATGGTTGATGATGGCAACATTACTTCAAACTTCCGGTGATGTATATGATTATGGTTAATGATGGTTTATGATAGTTGATAATGGAAATAATAAGCAACATCAATGGATCAATCATTCATAATTATATATATATAACCTATAATTAATGTCTGGGTATATAAATTAAAACACACCACTTACCTGAAAGAACGCCATTTGGGGATGATTGCCCTTACTAACCATATTTCCAGTGGGGTCACAGTAAGGTCACTACAATTTGCCATGTTCTATCTACTTCAGGATGATCATATGTGTCATGTTTTAATATGTAATATTGTGTAGTCATGTAAGTATATGTAATTAGGTATATGTATCATGTGTAATTAGATAGTTAGATAGAATTATAGATGGGCATCTAAGCAACAAGGCATGGAAATGAATGTAGCCAAACATGGCGTTATCAACAACCAAGCTGGGGTAAACTGATAGCGGCTGATAGCGTAAAAATGGTTGCGTAACCGCAACTTGGTATGTGAGAATTCACCAGTTGGGTGCATTCTCAACAAGCAAACATGTAAATGTTGTAATCATTTGCAGTACACATTTGGAGAAGCGAGTACAAGCTGCAGGCTCAAGAAGAAGGCTATCCACATTGGTCAAGTGGTGACCCTTGCTCGGTGTCTGAAAACGGCTAGTATAGCCCAAATGCAACCATTTAATTTGAGAAAATGAGTCCATGACGCATCAAATTTGGGGCGTAACCCATTTTCAGCCATCGGGCCATCATCATCTATTTTTGCCATGGCTTCCATAGCTATGGGCCAGACATCCACATTTTCACGGGTCCCGGCCTCTTGTCGCATCTCGCCCGGCGACCACTGCAACTCGCCCTGCAACGCGTTCTAAGCCATCATGTTCTAAGGGTTATTAGCCTCAAAATGGGGAATATCATAAAATGTAACAATCAGAATGAGAGTGGGACATGATACCAATAGAAAATCAACATCCAAGGGGGGTTGTCTGAAAATGATCAAATCAAAACGTGTTTTCAACAAATCATGGTGAACAAAGCCATGGATCTGTTAAACGCGGTGAAAGCCATCATCAGCCATGGGATTTTGGTGATTTTGAAGTTTGAGACGATAGTTAAGCCCAATGCTGGTTGGTGGTTTTAACATGTTTTAACCATCTTGAAAAATATTAGTCAATGGGAAGGATTATCCCATATATTATGGAAAATAACAAATATGTTCCAAACCACCAACCAGAACATATTCGGGGACCGCTGTCGCAAGGTCGGTGATGGCTGCAGCCTGAAATTTTTGTTTATCCAGCAACAATCAGAATGGGATATTCTGATATGATTTGGGACATGATATCAATGTTATCAATAGAACATGCAAATCACAAACATGTGGGCTCTCCTTGAATATAGGAGAATTAAAAAAAAAGGTCTGTCAGACTATCATCATCCCATCATATCTTCCCTATTTATATGTCCATGAAGGAACCCTGTGAGGATATGGGGTAATCCTCCAGAACAATGGCAACATCGCCAATGTCCCAGCGTTTTTGTGTAATCCTCCAGAGCCCTGCTGCGATGATGACATTACCCTCTGCTTTTCTGCTTCGTGGCTGCGGAAAATCACATGTTTTTTTTTGTTTTAAGAGGTAAATCATCATTTTTAACATCTATAAATGGGACATGGCTTCCATGGCTATGTTAAATAGAGGGTAAATAATCAGGGTCCAAACGCAGTGACCGTTTTTGCGTTACATATGTTGCATCCCTTGCACTTGTTTGTTTAGATGTGATTGGTTAATTTTGACATATGACCAACAGCCACAATCTGGCTGAATTGTCACTCACCAACTCCAAATAAAGGCAACTATCATTATCATTCAGCCAACCATCTTTGTTTGCAACCAAGCTATCAAACTGATGAATTTTATGGGCAACAATAGAGAATTCACAAACATCTGAGTATCATGGGGTTTACATGGATTTACATAATGTTAGCGGTTAGCAGCAGAACATCCTAAGTTCAGAAATCATCGTGGTGAAAACATCAGCCGAGCCTTTTTTTTCAATGACAGCAGTCCTCTGCGAGCACCCCTCGATCCAGAATGGTGCCACGGTGACTGTACAGTACGGCAGGGGAAAACAACAGGAAACAGCTACTACACTCGAAAACCATGCTGGCGAAGTATTTCACTGGAAGCATCCATATCTGTTTTTTGACATCCCAGAAGGGTGTGGGTTTCATCGAAGAATCTGAGCTTCTATGTCCCTGCCATGAGCACCTTGAAACATCAAATGTTTCAGCTCAGGTCGTTGGCGGGTCCGGGGTCAATGATCGGATCAATCTGGACCCACCGGAGGGTCTCTCTCTGGACCCTCCGGATGCAGAAATATTGCAACGGACCAGACTCGCGACCGTGACTTTGTGGCTGCTGGATCTGTCGAGGCTACAAAGTCAGAGGGAATCTGTCGAAACCTGCGCCGGGTGGCTGCTATATTGTCGCAAGCTGCGTGCAACGCAGCCTCCAGACTTCAGCCCCAGCAATGCCGCAATGCCTGCAATATGGGCTGCTGACATCGCCCAAAAAAAAAAATAACGAATGGGTGCCCTTTGTTCGGGCCACCGCATGGTGATCAAAGTATACTGGGCCTCCGGGAAGACCATCAGTGCACACCGCCCTTTGACCCGCTCTCTATCAGTCTTAGCTGATGATCGACTGTCCAAATCATCTATGACAAATCGGAGCCGCGTTACCATGCGATACCTCATTTGACAATGTTTGACCAATACAAATTCTCAATTTGAGCCATGTCTACAACTTTCCATGGAAGCACATCCTGTCATCCAGTCCCAGTGTGTCTGTACAAGTCTGGTCAACACCTTTGGTGTTTTTCAGTGCGAGTAGACAGGCGTTGGGCCTGTACACTCACACGAGCTACGATTAGACGGGTTTTATCCAGATAACATGGGCAAAAATCATCAAGCTGGCTGGAAAACTATAAATTCATTGAACAAATAACTGAATACTAAATGGATATTTTGAGGATTTTCCACGTAGTGTTTGAAACCCATAAAACCATAACCAGAGATAATGGTAATACTGTTAAAATAACGGTGCTGTTGGCAGCAAAACACAATGTTATTGGCAACCAAGCTTATTGATTGGTAACATCTGGAATGTCATTTGATATGCTTGTTCACCATGGTTTACTATACCATGACATTTTACGTAGCAAATATATATGTGTATATATATATTTGTATACACAGTGAACGTATAGACAATTAGACAGTCATGACATTCTATGTACAATACATATATCACATATATACAGTGTATATATATATATATAGTAAATAAAACCCATCATTTGTTCCTAACATCACCGACTTTGCACAAATGGCGATCAGATGTGGCAGCTGAGTACGAGTGTATAGAAACTTCCCTCTCGAGGAGTGGAAAAACTCAGCTGATCAGTCGCCGCCTGCCGTTGCGGATCAAGCTGTGTGGTACCGTTGCCGTTTTGACCCATGGTGGTGAAGAATTGCTGATGGTCTCGCATAACAAATATAGATAGAGCTTAAGATAAAAGTAAAATATGCTGGCTCTGCACAGTAGATTGTCAAACAAGAAGAAACCTGTCACCTCCAAAGTAGTACCGAATATGTTTCGGGTATACATGTATACAAGGAGAAAAGGTATTATTTCAAGGTCCAGGTGTCAAACACACCTTTTTGGCTTACAAAGACGCGCCTGGACTTGAACATAAGTTCAGCAGTCTGTTTTGGTGATCAATGCCCAAAAAGTAAAATCCCGAAATCGGCATGGGGATTCCTATCTCCAACCTCTATTCAGTGAGTTTCTTAAGTGGGCAATACATCAATGGATCCGGACGCTGGTCAGTAGGGGAAACTAAGCATGAACATGTCCGTGGCTAGGACATATATGATTGATTATATACATCAATATGATAGCAATATGTATTGAGTACATAGAATCCCTATGGATCCATGGCCACTGTCTGAGAAGGTACGGCTGGATCCAGCACCAGTTATGGCCCTATGGCCATGGCTATTAGTTACAACATGTTCTAACTTGTTATTTCTATGGGATTATATATACATTCTATAAATTGGGTTATGAGTATTTATAACTGGTATTTCGGGCCATAACTGTAGGGAAGGATCATCCCCAACAGTCATCAACCATGACATGACGAGCCCGCACCTCATCGCGAGCGCTGCGCCTCACGCTTCACTGTGAGCGTTGGCACAGGCCAGCGCCGAGCCTGGAAAATGTACAGAAATGATGGACAGTAGAACTATTACTGGTTGGTGGTTGATAATGATATTCCACCAGTATATTAGTTATAATATGGTGAGTAATATTCAGTATATTAGTGTATGATACTGTACTAATAATATCATACAATAGCTGGTTGGTGCTTGACCTACCCCTCTGAAAAATATGAAAGTCAAATGGGATTATTGTTCCCAACTTTCCCAACTGAATGGAAAGTCATAAAAGTCCATGGTTCCAAACCACCACAAATGTATTACCCTCTGGTAAATTAACAGTTCAAAATAACCAAGTTTAATTGGAAACTAATCTTCCAACCCCGATGACTGGCCGGGTCGTCATGTTAATTTACTGGAGTGGATAACTATTGAAACTTATAATTACCATTCTAACTATTTAAAAGCACTAAAAGCATTTGAACTACAGTAATCATAGCATTATATTTATTATATGTATAATGAATGTTAAAACTGTTTGAACTATTGTCACTACTGGCTACTATTGGTCATTATACCTAATTTCATTATCAAAACTATTGTAAGCATTATGAATACCTAATTTTATAGTATGAAATTATATCTATACTATCATACTATACCTAATTTTAGATAGTATTAAATTATATCTATACTATCATACTATACCTAATTTTAGATAGTATTATTACTATAATGAAATAGTATGATAATGGTCATGGATGTTAGGGAAATGGGATTAGGCTAGACATCGAAACCTTGAACCTTATCGCAGGGATGGGTCAATCTAGTGGACCTCCAGCAAACAAGGAGAGTGCAATAGCTTGGTGGACAGTGGTTATAAGAGTTATAGTGGGTTAACAATTATACTAGATAGATATAACAGCTATAGTAATTATAGTAGTTATAAATAGTTGTAATCGTTTTACTAATTATACAACGTAGTTTTAATAGTTATGTTTTATGATAGTTAAACAATTATGATGATCAAAAACTAATATAGTTACAAGTTACAACACCTATAGTAGTAATAACAGTTATAATATGTTATGATGGTTATCTAGAATCCCGACCTCCCATGTTTATTAACCACCCAAAGAAACCATCATGGCTGTAGGGTTAAAATCACATGTTCGGGAGCATTGAATGAGGGTGTTTAATTTGAATGGGGAATAGGATTATAGCACTTGGACATTTTGTGAAATTTCAGAAACCAAAAATAAAACTTGCTTCAATGGGAATTCCAGGATCCTAAAATGGAGGTACTGTACCATATAAGGCCATTGACTGGGAGAGCTTGAAATGCCCAAGCCTATTTGTTGAGTCCCATCTTCAAAGATGCTGATCCGAGACGAACCCATGAAACCATCAGATTTGGAATGCAAACGCATCGCATTCAAACGAAACAAACATAGAGTATGACAGTATGACTAAGTATAAGAACTCAAAACAATGTATCAAGCCATTGGTCAAGCCTAACATATATATATATATGCCATGGTCAAAGAAATGGTATAGGTGGGGTGGATTCTAGATCACTATCTAATACAGTAACATATTATAACATATTAAAGATATTCCAACGTTAAAAAAAAAAAACATATTGACACGATTATAGTTAGTATAACTTATAACTTTGAACTATGAACTATTGGTCATCGATATTACTCTATAACTACTAACAACAAAAACTCAATGAGATCCGACGTCGCCACCAAGCCAGCCTGACAGAAGGCAACATAGTCCTGCAGTGACGTAGCGATGACCCAGAGGCACTGGCTCACAGAAAAGATATGGGAAGAAATCCTGCACCAGTTGATAGGTGGTTTATCCCATTATTTATAGGGTTTCAACCATCGGGTTGGTGATGTAGGATTTCTTCCATCCACAGTATTTAGGTTCTAATTTGGATCTATTTAGCTGCGTATTGAGCTACATTGAGGTCATTTTTGGGCTAAATGATAGTGAATGTCCCATAATTACATAGTTTATCAGATATTGCATCCATAAAACCAACTATAAATCCATATAAATGGGTTAGTTTGAACAAGTAGTTGTGATAAACGAATATTGATGACCTAACTCCCCATTAAACCAACTAGAAATCCAAAGAAAAAATGTTTACAAATGGTTATAACTCCATAGAACACAAACTATGTTCATCTATTTTCAGTACCAAAGTGCATACCGAAGACTCAGAAAAAACAGTTATAGTCTGTCTGACAATCTGGGAACGAATTACAAGTTGGACCCTTACCATCTGGTTATTTAACATAGCCATGGAAAATCACCATTTTTAATGGGAAAACTCACTATTTCAATGGCCATTTTCAATAGCTATTTTGACATAACCAGAGGGTACGGTTGCATCAAGGTTTCACCAGGTCTGCTTGAGGCGGCCACATTTGTCACATCGCACCTGCTGCACCGCTCCAATCAAGGCCTCCACGAGGCCGCTCGCCTTCTCAAAGGAACGCCTGAGATGTCGTGGTTCAAAAAGTGCCATGGGAAACCTGGGAAATGCCTGGACTAAAGTGACTTTATCATGAAAAATGGGGATTTCAGATAGTTTAAATAAAAAAAAACGGGAATTTCAGCCTCAAACGTTGCAATTAATTCACATTGGAGTGGACATGAATTGAACCCTCAAACACGGAGGATTTCACACGTGAATCGTGAATCGTGCGTAACATGGGAATCTTCAAGACACGGGAGTTCATCCAGAAAGATTGCTGGACCATTGCTGGAAGCGGATAAGGGTGTATACATGAAGATCATTAACTGATATCACCAGGAAATTCGTGGAACTAACGATAACAAAAATGGTGATTTCAAGGAATAACTTCCCCATCAGCGATCCTGGTACCATCAGGTAGCGCCTGTTGGTGGCACTGACGCAAAGCATCAAGTCGTCGTTGGATTCCTTGTGCTCTGGCCCTTCCAAATACCTCGGGACGGAGCTCGGGACTTGTGCTGGATGCACTATGCTGATGGACCTGATGTGATGGGCTTATACCGTTAATATATATATATATTGTTATAATATATATATATATATATTGTTGTATAATATATATATATAGTGTCATATAGCAATATATATATATATCAATATATTATATATATATATATATTGTATATATATATATACATTGTGTATATATATATATATTGTATATATATATATATTGTGTATATATATATATATATTGTATATATATATTGTATATATATATATTGTATATATATACACTATTTGTAGATCGTGTCCCTATTGGCAAACCCAGCTGCGCTGCATCACACGAGTTGCAGCTTCTGACTGTTTTTCTTCGAAACGACTCCGACGTGATTGTTTCTTCATCATCCCAAAGAAGAGCAGCAGCAACATCAAACATATTATTTAAATGTGTATGTATATATACATATATATATATATATGTGAACTAGGGTCTATGACAGGTATAGCTATAGTATAACTTTATAAATATATATATATATATATATAACAGTACAGTTGAATGTTTCTTAAAAAAATAGGTCCATGAATATTCAACTCACTATGGGTGAAAGCAAATGGGCAACTAAAAGGGAATACTCATTACTAGTTCATAGATAAATTATATAACGTGTAATCCCAAATCTATCAAGGGTAGTGACAACCCGAGAAAACAAATCATCAACTTAAGTCAACCAAACATCATGTCTAAACACTATGTCACCATATGTTTGAACATGACAAAAAAAACATGAACCACCTATAATTGATGGTTGAATCATCCCATAAAATCCCGTGGCTACCAAAATGGCTACCCGTTTCAACATATCCAGTACAACGAAAACGAAAAAAAAACCGTTGTAATGTCCCGTTTTCATGTAATATATATATATATACTATTATAATATCCCTATTAAATATCCTAGTATTATCCAATCATATTCTATGTACCATCTGGTTATTTCTTACATAATATTACATAGCCATAGAAAGATCCACCATGCTATTAAGAACGGTAAAGGCACACCATCTATAAATCGATTAGGGCCATGGCTTAACCATGGCAGTCACTGTGAATGTCATAACCAGAGTCCCAGAGGGTAATTGCTGAGATCCATCCACCGGGCATCTTCTATTCACTGGGCGCCCCGCTTGGATCCACGACCCCTCAAGCGGATCTTCACCGCTCCGTTGCCCACCGTCTCGATGATACCTGGCAGGTGGTCTCTGCAAGGTCAAGGTGGGCCCCCAACCAATGGTGATTCAACAAGATTTAACCAAGAAACACTAGTTTCATCAGTTCATCTAGTTTATATAGTTTATATAGTAATATAGTTGATTCATGGATTGGTTTAAGGGAATATTTACAGGAAAGCCCCATATTCAATGGGAAAATCTATGGTTTCCGGTTAAGATTTTCCCTTAAACCAATCCAATCCATTTATATTTAATTAACCAAGAAACACTATATATATTTATATAGTTGTTTCATGCTAAGTTGTTGTATAATTAAGTCAAATACAAAAAGTGTATCTAGTGTTTAAAGATGTTTAAAGTTTATGGTCGATAGGTTGATATCGTGAAACAACTCGTCCAAGACAATGGTCTTGTGGATTCACTCCTCGGCAACGGCTCAGACAAGCCCACTGAGCAGCCGGGCGTTTCATGTTCTCGCCGCCGGGCCCAATGATACGGCGGCACACCTGTCCCCGAATTCCGAACATTGTCTGAGACCAACATTAGTATACCTCGACCTGCAAAGTAGCCAGTAAACATCATTAAACATGTGTAGAACATGGGTATACGGTAGAACTACCCAACAATTTCAAAACAACATAGGGCGGACATACACATGTTTGATCGGCATGTCCTCCAACTTGAATATTCTGTTCCTCCAGGGATGAGGATGGGAGTCATATCATCGGTTTGTTTCAACGAGTACAACCCACTGATCTTAAGTAATCATAGCCCCATGATCAAAAACAAACATCAACAAATCTCAGCAATACTACCTAAACATACCTAAACCACAACATTCGCTTTTTTGGCGTCGCCTGAAAGGCGACATCCTCTTCAATGCCAACCTTGACGCGACACAGGTACTTGCCACCTGCGAAGCGCGCTTCTGTCAGTTGGGATCACCATCCCACGGTCGAACGGTTGAACACAGAAAAATCCAATTGAAACCATCGGAACGATTCGAATTTTAGATCCATCAGTTTCATTAATGAAAAAAAACATCTAAAAATGTTTAGATTAAAAAAAAAACTGTTTTTTTCCCCATCTAAACATTTTTTTAGAAGGATGGAACCGATGGAACGATCTTTCAACATCGGACTGCAGTGATTGCACCGTCATGGCATCCTTCGCGCTGGAGCATCTCATGGGAAAATCATCCAAACATGGTGGTTTCAGTTTGATATCATTGGAAGCACATGTATTTCTTTTGTGGGGAAATCATCTATAAATGGAGGGCATTCTAGTTTTCCATCAATTCTAGACTTATGGATTTTCAACCTTCCCAAATTCCAGTGGATAAACATCATGGTTCCCAAAAAAAATGCGATTTGGAAGGTTATACCACATGTTCAGACACACCCATGTGTTTTCCATCGTCAACTAACTGGTTACACAACATGTACCATAGTTCTGCTGCATCTGCTCTTGCACTATTTTGTTTCCATCATTTCTGTCCATGATTTCAAATGGTATCATATCGTCAAAAACATGTTTACACACGAGATAAACTACCCGACCCAAATATCATATCACATCAAAACAAATCATGCATATTATGTTAGTAACATATCCCGTGTATATCACTATGATCCCCAACTCTATTCACTCAATCAGTGGTTAACTCTCGGCAAATCAACCCGTGTTGGTTACATATCCCATGTTTTTCCCATCATGGTTGGTGACTAAACATCAGTTTCAAATTACCAATGAATTCCGATAATTAATGATTATTGTGCATTTCACTCGTTAGTTTCAAGCACAGAATACTATATCATATCTTATCATATCCCCCTAATATTAAACACCCCTTAAATGTTCCCAAAGGTGTGTCTACTATGGGGGAAGGGGGTACTCAAATTAGCAGTGTGGATTGTTAAAGAATCAGTAAATACGATGAACAACCATTTTTTTTTACAGATACATCGACCCATTTGTAATTAGAGAGTGCTATCCAATGTCCCAACTTCCGATTTGTTTCAAAAAACAGCATCCACCCATCTACTCTTTCCCGATTGCGCAACACACACCTCCGGTGCCCGCAGCACTCTTCTCATGCCGCCCTGCGACATGCTGAAGTAGAACAGCTAAAAGGATGGGACATGTGAATATGCATATATCATATATATATATCCTTTATTTGTATGAATAAACAAATATAAGAAATAGATAGATATTGTGCAGGTGGTCGCCGTGCTTATTTACAAAGACTCACCACAAAACGGTCTTTTCCGTAACAGTGGTGGTCAAGTATCTAGACGTTGACGGATCCACGCTGACAATGACAGACAAGTGCATCATGTAGCATTTGATTTTTAGACAAGCAAATACTTGACGTTTGATCTTTCAGTTTTCAGTCAGATATCAGGTGTTCATTGTTTGTCAGTCAGAGCCAAAGAAATATCCAGACTTCACTCTGAAACACCGCCCCTAACAACAAAAAACTGTATCCCCAAATTCTTGATTTTCTTTGTTGGGAAGGGGGGGAATCCCCCGTTTATTAATAGGAGGTAAGGATTGGATACAGTAACCATAGTTGCAGTGCTCTCTGCGAACGGCCTCCGTTGTTCTTGGCCTTTGCTCCTGACAGCCACGCTGCTCCGGTGAGATATCCTAAAGGGCACCTTGGATCAAAAACTCGGACAGTCGACCCAGCTCCAACAACATGAGACAACTTAGGTTCTGATTCTTATCTGATGCAGGATTCGGATAGAACAAAACATGTCTGAAGTGGTTATATCAACATCTGGGTTTGGCTGAAAATAGGATGCCGAAAACCATGATGCTTTATCATTATGTTCCCAGTTAAAATGGCAATTCTAATGTACAATAATTCTCAGACAGGCCCAAGGAATCCCAACCATGTTGGTATGTTGGTAACTAGTGGAACATATCAATAGTTATGTTTGCTGCATCACATGAATTACTAGGTGGTCGCCCCCAATTATGTTTGTTGTTTAGAACGCACATTAACTGTACAAGTAGATATATCTACCATAAACATCCATAAACCATGAAATTCACCTAGTTGTAGACCAACTTAGTCAATGGGACATCAAATAAAATTACCCTCCAGTAAACTAACATAGCTATGGAAAATGGACGAACATGGACCATTTATAGATGATTTACATACGAAACATGATGAATTTCCATAGCTTTTTTTTATGTTTACCAGAGGCTATTTTTGTAAACCCATGCGGCCAGCGGCTTCGCCCCGTTTCCTGAATTGCCATTGCAGTTCTTTGCCTGGCAGCTGAGCAACGCCAGTGCCATATATCTTTGAATGTGATGGTGATGATGTGTACAATATGTTATACATTTACGGTATACGGTATATATATATCATAAACACATATATACTATAAACAATAATTATATATATAATATATACCTTCAATATCATTCAGCAGTTCTTGTTCCACCACTAAGGACTCTTGGAAAAAGAACATGCCGCACGTCAAATACCTAATTGCATTCCCCCGCCCACATGTATCCTCACGATTCTTTCATCTGCATGTTTGGTGAATGACATACTTTTAATGGTTCTCATATATAGTAGATTGGACAAAATAGAATAAACAAGGTCTGTAAACCCTACGTTTTTGCAAGGTATGTTTCAACATAGCTGCTCAAAGGAAAAATAATTACTATCGATCCGGGATGCTTTACTGTTGGGTCTTAATTTCCGGGTCCAGTAAACGAAGGTAGATATGGACACTCCACCATTTTTCCGAGGGAAACTCATGGATTGTCATAGCGCCTTCTGCGGGGCTGGCGACACCGGCGACACCTGACCTGAGCGATGCTCAGGTTGGGTTGCGACTTAAAATGTTGCTGTCTTGCCACTTGGTCCATGATCTGATTTGCAGGGAGGGAAACATGTTTATAGATATAGTATCTTATTTCTATACATTCTATGATAGCTGATATGTATATACAAATATATGATTGAACAATGCCATGCTGAAAAAAAAAGATCATCTTCAAAGATCAATCCAAGGCATGAGCCAATGGTTAGTTGTTCATCATAAACACCTCATTAAAGCACCTAGAACAAATAAATACCATTAAACACCCCGTGTTCAGACATATACATCCGCAAATCATATTAAATTGGTGAAGTATCTTCCCTTCAACATCCCATTCACATCCAAAAACAACCCTTGTTTGGTGAAGGGGAGATGTGTCGAAGCGTTGACTGGAAGAAATCTGAAAGCCCTGGTGTGCGTTGTAACTTGTTGTTGGGTTTCAATCCCTGTCTAGAAACTTCATATCTATTTGGGATGATCCAAAATGACCCCAAATGCTTGGTGAATGGGAGGGCTTATTATTGCTTTGCTAACATAAAATTGTGGTGTCAATCCGTTTTTAGAAACTTAAGAGTATCCGTGTTTGAAAAGGTAATCATGACATAAACAACTCATTTAACCCACTCCATGTGTGCTACTTTACTGTAACCCATCTCCATGGGTTCACTTGACACTACTACTTCAAGACCAACAAAAATCAGGGGGCCGGTCGAAACAGAAACGCGGCGTCCATCCAACGACCAGTAGATACCACTTTGTTCTCCAGCCGCAAGCGAGATTCCCTGTTTTCGCGCCACTTTTCGGGCCCAGCAGTTCGATTTCTGTGCCTACTGAAACGTGGTGATGCTACTGTGGATGGAAATAATCCTGCACCAGTTGATAGATGGTTTGTCCCCTTACTTATAGGATTTCAACCATCCAAGGTGGTGCAGGATTTCCTCCATCCACAGTAGTGAAGCTACTCTGATGGTTGGTGGTTGTGGCAGACTTCCTCCGGAATTGAAAAGAACTCTATTTGGGATCATAATCACAGGTAGGTAGGATCGAAGATCGAAACAAAGCGGAGCCATTGAGATCTCATCGGCCAGCCCTGGATGTCCGTTATGCCCTGTGGGCCCCAGAAAGTTGGATAGTGTGGTAATGTCTGGTACTCAACAATCTAAAGGTTGGTCCGAAGGTAGGACGGGGGGAAACAAAAATCACATCTGCGTTGAGGAAAGCGATTTTTGAAACTATCACTGGTTGGTGGTTGACCTACCCCTCTGAAAAATGATGGAGTGAAAGTCAGTTGGGATGATGACATTCCCAATATATGGAAAGTCATAATCCAGCCATGTTCCAAACCACCAACCAGATATATTATAATATATTGTTATTCCACTTATTAACCATTATGAACCATAGATTAACCATAGATTAACCATAGATTAACCAACCAGATCAAATCTGACGCTTTCCAAAGCATTTTCAACCATCATCAGCCTTTCGCATCATCGCCGCAGGTGGTGCCTCCGTGCGTCTGTTTGCGCGGAGCGTTTGGGCCCCCAAAAACAAGGTGGTGCCCCACTTCGTGAATGCTAAGTTGGTGCAAATAACTCCAATAACTGTGGTTTATAGGTGATATATCTATATGCTTTGTATATGGTTTATAAAGAAACTTATAACTATGGGGCACGAACCTTGAATGGTTTTTACAATGGTTAATTAATAGTGGTTCATCATGGTTGATCATGGTAAAAATGCTGGTTCATAGCCACTTTTGTTAGCCAGGTTTGGCCATGTTTGCCAGGTTTAACCTGTGCCAGTAGGTTGCCAGCTATGGCTGGGTCCACATAAAAAACTGGTGCTTTGCAACCTACTAAAGATTCTTTGGGTGAACCAGAAAAATTGGATTCATGGCGGAGATTCTGCGGCTAGATGGAGTACATAATTCTATATAATCTTTCAACCCACTGATCATTTGCTGGCTTCCATGATTTTCGCAAAAGGGACCATAAACCAAATTTCCATATATCACAAAACCTTGCTATTTTTTTCGTTGCAATTGTCATATAGAAAATCCATACAAATCCCCCAATGTTGATCTATTTGCAGAAGTAGCAAAAAAAAATCATCTAGACTGTACCCTCCGGTGTCATCAAACGTGGCAAGAAAAATCAATCCAGCTATAGAAATCGATGATTTTCCCAGTTTTTTTGACCTCAAATTTATGGCGATCCACGACGATTTCCCAGCGGCCCACCATGTTGCCGGAGGGTATCATCCATTAATATCCAAAAAATATTATGGGTTTAATGGTGGTTTAATGGTGGTTTAATGGTGGTTTAATGGTGGTTTAATGGGGTTTAACCAACAAAATGCTGGTTTTGATGGGATATACCCTCTGGTTATTTAACATAGCCATGGTATAGATGGCCCATAGAAATAGATGATTTTCCCAGCTAGAAAGCTCCATTTATTTACGGGATTTTCCATGGCTATGTTAGTCATAACCAGATGGTAATATATCAAAAAATACCATTAAAAAAATCCATGGCATAAAATCCCCATTCAGAAATCCATCAGAAACCCAACAAAAACTCTGGTGATTTTCTGGTAAGGTTGGCCAATAAGGTCTATATGTGTGGCCTGGTTGATGGTCGTAGAGTATATATACCCCCTATGAATAAACATCCTATTCCTCTAATGATGATGACATAAAGTTATTATATTAATTTATAGTTATTTATACATATTTCCAAAAAAAACATAGTTTATATCATACATTGTATCCATATCACCCCACCCATTGAACGCTTAGCCAGTCTTTATTTGTGAGCAACGTCCATCATCGGCCCGGCCATTGGTCAATCCAAGTCACCAAACATGTTACCATCTGTTTTTTTTGGGGTTCTGATGGATTTCTGAATGGGGATTTTATGCCATGGATTTTTTTAATGTTATTTTTTGATATATTACCATCTGGTTATGACTAACATAGCCATGGAAAGATCCACCATTTTTATTAGGTGAACCATCTATTTCTATGGACCATCTATACCATGGCTATGTTAAATAACCAGAGGGTAGGTTTGTGAGTGATCATAATGCAGCCAGATGTTGATATTGGCCATTCTAGAAAGGTTGCCTTTAGTCACTTTAGTCTGTGGTTCATTTGAGTTTCACTTAAGCAAATCCAAACCAATCTACTCTATTTATATATATAACCATCCTGAAGTAGATAGAATCTCTGGAATTTCAAAAAAAAAACGGTCCGAAAAAAACCTATAGATAGAATCCCAAAATGGCTCAAAAATCCGGGTCGATGATTGGTAAAAAAAAAGTCCCTCAAAAATGATCACAAAAGCGGTCATTTAGCTTGTGATTTGGTTGTTTGGGCCTTTGGAATGACCACCAAATGTTGTCATTATGCTGGTGTATTAGGTTCTGGCATGCAAATTTCAGCCCAAAATCTTCCAAAGAAATTGTCACTGTTGCTGGTGGTTCCCAGAAATATAGATCCTTTGGCAGTGGTATTCAATAGTCAAATCCAAGAAAGGAATGGGTGTGGGTCAAATTATTACACCCCAAAATTGATAGTTGATTTTTTAAGATGTGAAATTTTGAAATTGAGCTGGGGCCAAATTTGACCCGTACCCATTTAGCTACAGTGTGCTCACCGGACCTCCTGGAGATTTTGAATTTGGACATCGATCAAAATCGGATACTTTAAAAAGTAATCTGTATAGAATTGGGTGTAATTGGGACAGAAGGTTTTGATCCATCCCCATATTCTTCTATATTCCTTCATATTCTATCTATGGTATCAACCACTGTGCTGACCCCTCCCTACTGCATTCTGCTAACAACGGCAGGTTTCCAAAAACCATTCCATGTGTTGTAGATTCTTTGGCAATGGGATTTTTGGTTCCCGGGATGCCCAAATAGTCAAACCCAATAAAGGAATGGGTGTGAGTCCAAATATCATCCCTACAAAATTGATAGTTGATTATTTAAGATGTGCAATTTTGTAATTGAGTTGGTGTGCTCACCGGACCTCCTGGAGATTTTGAATTTGGACATCGATCAAAACCAGCTACTTTAAAAAGTAATCTGTATAGAATTGGGTGTAATTGGGACAGAAGGTTTTGATCCATCCCCATATTCTTCTATATTCTTTCATATTCTATCTATGGTATCAACCACTGTGCTGACCCCTCCCTACTGCATTCTGCGAACAACGGCAGGTTTCCAAAAACCACTCCATGTGTTGTAGATTCTTTGGCAATGGTATTTTTGGTTCCCGGGATGCCCAAATAGTCAAACCCAATAAAGGAATGGGTGTGGGTAAAATGATCACCCCTACAAAATTGATAATTGATAATTGAAGAGGTGCAATTTTGTAATTGAGTTGGTGTGCTCACCGGACCTCCTGGAGATTTTGAATTCGAACGTAGATATAAACTGTTGGATAGTCAAACTCTATATACATGATCATGAACCAACAGTGGTTTTGAATACAGCCCAAAAGGTATTTTCAGAATCCATAAATTATAATACCACTTTGGATAATATATTGATATAGCACATGTTGTTAAATACCACTGGGTATAATCCAATTAAGAAAATTGTCTTTGACAACATGTGATTGTTTTTCCAACCGGGACCTTTTCAGGGATATTCTAACTATAGATTTTGCCAGGGGCTGACAACTCGGTTCCCCCGTAAAGGGAGCATAGCCAAAAAACGTGACGGGATTCCAGAATCCCGTCATCACCCCCCTATGTGGGGGACGCCCCGGAAAGCGACCGAGTAATATCCTCTAGAACCATGAAAAGACTGAATTTTTAAAGGATGCTTGGAATTAAGCATGTATTTGTGGTGCTCCCTGCCCCTTCCTCCACATCTACCCATCCAAAGTTCATTCTTGGAGCTGTTTGAAAGCAAGCTTTAAAAGGAAAATGGCATTAAAAAAAAAGGAATCCGAGATCTCACCATCCAAAGTTGAAATTGCAGGTTTTGAAAAGAAACCACAAAAGGAAAATGGGATGAGAAAAGAAGGAATCCACGATCTTACCATTTAAAGTTCAGTCTTGCAGGTTTTTGAATAGAAAGCTGTGAAAGGAAAAGGAGATGAGAAAAGTATAGAAAAGTATAGAAAAGTAGGAATCCAAGATCGACCATCCAAAGTTCATTTGTGCTAGTGCTGTGCTAGGACAGTTGGGCAAAACTATAGATAGAATATCCTCTAGAACCATGAAAAGACTGAATTTTTTAAAGGATGCTTGGAATTAAGCATGTATTTCTGGTGCTCCCTGCCCCTTCCTCCACATCTACCCATCCAAAGTTCATTCTTGGAGCTGTTTGAAAGCAAGCTTTAAAAGGAAAATGGCATTAAAAAAGTAGGAATCCGAGATCTCACCATCCAAAGTTGAAATTGCAGGTTTTGAAAAGAAACCACAAAAGGAAAATGGGATGAGAAAAGAAATAATCCACGATCTTACCATTCAAAGTTCAATCTTGCAGGTTTTTGAAAAGAAAGCTGCGAAAGGAAAAGGAGATGAGAAAAGTACAGAAAAGTAGGAATCCAAGATCGACCATCCAAAGTTCATTTGTGCTAGTACTGTGCTAGGACAGTTGGGCAAAACTATAGATAGAATATCCTCTAGAACCATGAAAAGACTGGATTTTTTAAAGGATGTTTGGGATTAAGCATGTATTTGTGGTGCTCCCTGCCCCTTCCTCCACATCTACCCATCCAAAGTTCATTCTTGGAGCTGTTTGAAAGCAAGCTTTAGGAAAATGGCATCTAAAAAGTAGGAATCCAAGATCTTACCATCCAAAGTTGAAATTGCAGGTTTTTGAAAAGAAACAACAAAAAGAAAATGGGATGAGAAAAGAAGGAATCCACGATCTTACCATTCAAAGTTCAGTCTTGCAGGTTTTTGAAAAGAAAGCTGCGAAAGGAAAAGGAGATGAAAAAAGTATAGAAAAGTAGGAATCCAAGATCGACCATCCAAAGTTCATTTTTGCTAGTGCTGTGCTAGGACAGTTGGGCAAAACTATAGATAGAATATCCTCTAGAACCATGAAAAGACAATTTTTAAAGGATGCTTGGAGTTGAGCATGTATTTGTGGTGTTCCCTGCCCCTTCCTCCACATCTACCCATCCAAAGTTCATTCTTGGAGCTGTTTGAAAGCAAACTTTAAAAGGAAAATGGCATCTAAAAAGTGGAATCCAAGATCTTACCATCCAAAGTTGAAATTGCAGGTTTTCGAAAAGAAACCACAAAAGGAAAAAGGGATGAGAAAAGAAATAATCCACGATCTTACCATTCAAAGTTCAGTCTTGCAGGTTTTTGAAAAGAAAGCTGCGAAAGGAAAAGGAGATGAGAAAAGTATAGAACGTAGGAATCCAAGATCGACCATCCAAAGTTCATTTTTGCTAGTGCTGTGCTAGGACAGTTGGGCAAAACTATAGATAGAATATCCTCTAGAACCATGAAAAGACTGAATTTTTTAAAGGATGC